GAATTTTCAAAGTTTGTGAGGTTCTCTATTTTATTAACTATGGTTAAGAGATCTTAATTAATATTTTCCCATTAAATAAGCTGTCAGGGGTGCTACGCATTTCTGCACGGTAACAGAAGTTTTCAGCAATTATTTATCTTCAAGAATTTTAATTCACAAGCAAAAGATCTCGTCCAAATACAATATAAATATATTAATCGGACTTGGGTTCTGCGAATTGCCACTACTTATTCTAATTTTATTTTCTGGGAGATGTTGTCCCCAAAAGTGGTGGCGGAATGATGAAGGGGGAAGAGGATAGGGGTCAAACAATGATCACAGCGATGGGAGTAAACTGACACGGGTAGTACGGTTTTTATAATGAACAAATGCAGTTTTTAAAAAAACACGTGATGAATAAGGTTGGCGAATAAAATAACAAATATATGCACACCTGCTTCTTGTGGAGAGTGGGGAGTGGAGACTAAGGAAGCACGGTGGGCGCTTCTTCTTGTTTTATTTTTGGGTTGGGCCTTCGCGGACGTGACTGCCCGGAAAGTTCCAAGTCAACTCGGAGGAGTCCAAAGAAATTTTGAATTTTGCGTCACAAAGACGATCAGCTTTAATTTCAAAGCCGCCATGATTGATTATCTCACCTGTCCATTAGTGTATCCCGATTGGAAGTTTATGGCATGTGATTCACATACTATTTCTTACCGTTAATTAAAGTTGTACGCCTGTTACCAAATGTTCTCACCGCATTTTCTCTTCCCGTAAAACTCCATTTATGTTTTTAAAAAAACAATAATAATTTCCAAATGATCTTGGATCATATTCTTTGTTTCGTTGTTACTGTGATCCAACCTTGTTACAGCCCACGTAAAAGCTCTAACAGCCCGGGCTTTGGGAACCTATACCCTTCCGCAGGAGAGTTTGTGTGTTTGAATTTCAAATTCAAAAAAATTAATCAACAAAATATGATAATATTTGAATAATATTTTATAAAATTGAATATATTTAAATAATTTTTTGAAATTAATTTTTAATGTTCAAATTACAATAAACGATATTCTTTTTATAATGTAAATAGTAATAAATAAAATGGATGGTAAAATTGTAAAATGGACATTTTAACGATTCTTAAAAGTTTCAATTGATTTTTAAATGGGTTTTATTGTCACTTCTTCGAGTGGAGGTTTGGAACTCAAATGAAATTTGAAAAAAAAAATTAAAAGGTTTGGGTACTCTCTTTCAAAACCTTGTGTCTATATTATACATCACCTATTATTACTCAATGTTTTTTAATGAACCAATTAATTTTAAAAGTTCACATATTAATAATATTTTTTAAATTTTTTTACTAAATTTTAAAAGATCTATAAAAAAGAAATATTACAACGCGAGGGTTCTCTAAACTATGAGAAACTAATTTGTATGTTACATTTTATTTTAAGTTTGACATAATTCATTTTATTATCTATCACTCATGAATAGCAATTCGTAATAAGAAATTGAAAATTTTCTTACTCATTATTTTTTAAAATTTTATCACTCTCCTCTTAAAGAATTTTACAAGGAATATATAATAAAATTTATCTTCTTAATTCTGTTTTATAAAAAGAATAAATTGCAAGGATTTATGTCATTGCATATACGAAAATATAAAATAATAAACGCTTTTAGAAATAACTGGTCTTGTTAAAACATTATTTGATCTAGTGAAATGGAATGGTTTGTCACAACACGATGAACCAAATTTTAAATCTTGTTAAACAAAAATGTGGCTATATTGAAAAGGATATTTGTATCCAATAACAAAATTAAAATAATATTTTATTCTTTTTAAATTACAAGACACTTTTAACAAAATCTCACATATGAATAAATCTCATTAAATATATTTAATAATTTTATTTTTTTAATATAAAAATATAAACTTTGAAAAATATAATTCATTTAATATACTAAATAGAGAGAAGGACAAGAATTAAATAGAAAGAGGGTAATATTAGAATAAATTTATTCAATGAAACATTAATTTTCTCAAAGCTTCTCATTTTAAGACACCAAATATTTTTAAAAAAATGTCTTATAATTCATAATCGATAAAGTGCTCCATATAAGTATTTTTCTCCAAGTAATATTGGTTCGATATATATAAGCAATGTATTATGTTTAGTTTTTTTTTTCATTTCATCTCTTTTATTTAGTGGTCTAATTTTTTTGGTAAAATTTTTATATTTCCTTATAGAACTGTTAATATTTTAAGGAAAAATGATAATAAATTTTTTTAAATTATATAAATGATAATTTGATCCCTTAAAATGCTATAATATCAATGAAATTTTTAAAAATCTCTTTGTCAATAACTTTTTTTAAATGTTAACTTGATTGATAAATTGTAATTTTTTATTCAATTTTTATGATTTTGTAAAGAAAAGTTATGATTCTTTAAATAAAAGTTATTAATAGAGTTTGTTGTTTTGATAACTTATTTTTTAATAATAAATATTACATTTAATAAATTATAATTTTTTGTTCAACTCTTACAATTTACGGAATAAAAATTATTATTCTTTAAATAAAAGTTATGATTAAGACTTATTTTTTAATAACAAAAATTATGCTTAATAAATTATAAGTTTTTATTCAACTCTTATGATTTATAGAATAAAAATTATGATTAATTTTTATTATTTTTAGTAAAAATAAAATAATATTTTTTTAAAAAATTTATTGATAAAGAAATTTTTAAAGACTTCATTAATATTATAATATTTTAAAAGATTAACTCCTCATTCATATAATTTTAAAGAGATTTTATTATATTTTTTTAAACCGAAGAAATACTATTTTATCAGATCTAATCATTGTTGCAATTTCTTGTCCTTGCAGTTTATTTAACATGGACAAATAAGCGAGCAAAACGGAAAGCACTCAAAATTTGCGGATTGCAATTCGTGTCCCGTGTGTTCCAGGAAAGAGATAAATACGCACGATCCTGAATTCTGATATGTTTGTTGACTTAATAAATACCAAAATCGTTGATTGAGTCCTACATTAGCAGTGACATCATGCCTTTGACGTCATAAGCTTCGGCCCTTTCCCCAGCGTCATCCATATTAATTAGCTTATGCCCTCATACTTTGCCGATTTTTTCATCCTTGCCTCCATACGTGTCAGCTCCTTTTGACGATTGCAATTTGCCGTTGCCAAATAAAAATTTAAAAACGTACCCGATGCAATTAGCCCTCCTTTTTCAGATCCTTTTTATAGGTGATGTACTCTGGTAAATATGTTTTTTTTTTTTTTTTCAATCGGTATTCACATGTGAACATTATAATTTTCATTTATTTTTTTAAACAAATCGTGCGCAACACCCAGCTTTTTTTTGCCCAGAAGAGATTCTTTATTCAGTAACGAATGCGTGGAGGCCTAAATAATTTAGTAAATATTATATTTTTTTATATATAAATATCTAGTGTTTAGCAATAGCAACTCACATTGTTTAACTATCGTTAATTCAGTCTAAATAAAAATAGCTCGCCCATATAGGGCTCAAATACTAATTAAAAATAGTATGATTTATTCTATAAGAAATAACATAGCCCAGTATAACTTAATTTTTGTGAATTTGAAAAGCGAGAACTTGGCCGGATAAATACCAAAAAATAAAAATAAAACAGTCAATCACTTTTGATTGCACGAGTGAACACAATTTTATGCATGATTATTAAGGTTTTAAAAATTAAATCGATATTAAATCTGACTAACCATTAGTTCACAATTCATTAATTTATCCACGGTTGAATTGTGGTTGAACCAATTAATATTAAATTAATATATTTTAAATTTATATATCATAATTAAATAAAAAATATATGCAAATTTAGCACATTATTCTGTTGTTGATCGATTCCTTTATGATTAATTTTGAGGGGTCAATTGAATTGGATCAAGAGCAGGATTCCAATTCAATCTAATCTAATTTTTAAAACACAGGTGATTACGCAAACAAACATCGTATGCGCAGGATTACACCATAGATAGATTAGGCGTGATACACATGTTGACACTGTGGCCATTGGAGACAAGACTATAAATCACTTCTAATTATATAATAACAAAAGCTACCCCATCAAAATTAAAAAAGATAATTACATTAATGATGTTATCTAAAAATTAAAAAAATATAATTACCCTGGTGTAACTTTTCACTAGCTACTCATAGAAAGTTGTGGAAGAATAAAATTAAAATTAAATAATTAATTATTTATCTTTTTTATGCAGTTGAACCCCTGTTAGAAGATGAGTTATATATGAAATAGAAGGAAATTATACTCTTATATTAAAAAATATAAAGTATTTTTGATGGGGTTGATTATTAAAAAATATAATATATTTTTAATATTTTAAGGTGTGATTAATGTGTTTTTTACTAATAGTAATAAATAAATTATTTTATACTTATTTTAAAGTGAAATACTATATTAAATAAAGATAAATATAAAAAAATAATATTAATTTAAAGATAAATAATTATTTTATTAAAAAAATATATTTAATTAAAAAATTTTATTTTTAAGCTATAGTAAATAATTGTGCGAAAGTTTATTGGGGGAATCACAGGGGGAAGAGTATAGTTTGAAATGTTTTCATTTCCTAAATATGGTTCCGACAGAGAACAATCTTGGGGTAAAGTGGGCTGACAAGAATGCGAACTTTTAGCCTGGCGCGCTATCTCCAATTGTCCATCGCTAAATTAAAGTAACGAGGGAACTAATCTTTATCAAAAAAAAAAAAAAAACAGTCAGGAGGATGTTCCTGTGGCTTTAACCACGACGAGGCTTTACAGTCAGCGTTCCTTTTAGCGCTCAGGAAAAGAAAAAAGAATAGAGATGAGAGAGAGAGAGATACAAAGTAGTCTTCGCTTTCACATTCATCCGCGACTCCCTCGTCACCTTTTATATATTTCGCTGGAATCTTCCCCCAGCATTACCTATCCTTTTTACAACCCTTCCTCTCTTTCCATTTTGTGATATATACACTGCCCAGCTGCACCACTGCCCTTCACTCCGTTTTTCTCATGTACGGTTAAAAGGATATATATATCAAAGCACAGATCGAGATGGTGAGGAGTCCCTTTTACGACAAAAACGGAGTTAAGAAAGGTGCGTGGAGTAAAGAAGAGGACCACAAACTCAGAACCTATGTTCTCAGACATGGTCATGCCAATTGGCGTCAACTCCCCCAGCTTGCAGGTCTCTCTCTCCCTCTCCCTCCCTCTCTCTCTAATTATAGTTTCCCTAATTATGATCAGCTTACTCTGAATTCCTCCAGAATTAATGCTCTGCTTTTGACATCTTCCAACAGGTTTAGCAAGGTGCGGAAAAAGTTGCAGACTTCGTTGGATGAACTACCTGCGCCCAAATCTAAAGCACGGCAACTACACTCCAGAGGAGGAGCAACTAATCATCAAATGCCACCGACAACTTGGGAATAAGTATCTGCCTATCTAGCTATCTATATTTCTTTCTTTCTTTGTTGTTTTATTCACAGAAACAGACTCTTGTTTGAAAAACAGAATAAACAAGTGCAAATCAGCATAGTACTCCGAATCTGCTGTTATGTTTCTGACCATAGGTGAAAAATGATAGGCCTGATTCATGTAGACTTGAACTTTATGGGCCTGAGTTGATAAAGGCTAAGCCCTTAAACTCAGGTTCTTAAAAATAAATTTAATTTTTAGTGTTCAGTTTTTATTTAAAGAGTTTAGGATTAAAATCATATGTTATTTATTATTATTTTTATATTTTTTAAAATTAAAAATTTTAATTATAATATTTTATATATTTTTAAAATACAAATTATAATATTAAAAAAATTAAAAATAAATAATAAAAATAAAATTTAAAGTATAAATATATATGTTAAAGTTTAAATTCAATTTAAAAGATAAGAATATTTTATTTTTTGAATTAAAATGAAAAAGAGTTTAAAAAAGGTTAGTCGAGTCTCTTTTTTTTTTTTCAGAGCTTTTGAGAATTGAGTTTTAAAGTCATATTTTTCAAAAAAATAATATTTTTTAAAGCTCAAATTGTCATAAATATAGGCTAAAATAGGCTGCCCGTCAAGTTGGGCTCTATTTCTGACCCGTGGTTTGTTCTTGCAGGTGGTCATTGATTGCTGAGAAACTTCCAGGACGAACGGATAATGATATAAAGAACCACTGGCACAGCCACCTAAAGAAGAACTTAAACCAGAGTGACGCTGAAGAGGGGGTAAAATATTTGAAGACAGCCGAATATAAAGAATCCGAACGCCCACGTGAGTTTGTGGGTTCTGAGTCACGAAGTCACCATATTCTGGAAAGCTCATGGGCACGGCCCACTTCTTCGGACACGTGCTACACCCAAGAGAACCACTCAGACTCGAGCGTTTCACTCCAACAATCCACCCTCAAGTCTTACCGGGAAGATCAGGACAGTGTAGCTTCCTGGGAAACCTCACAAGAACTGATGACCAGCGAATTTTGGAGTAGACCATTTTTAGTAGAAAATACTTGTGGTTTGGACACACCCCCCTCAATGTTTTGGTACCCTTACGAGGTTACAGATTTGAGTCATGACCTGCTGCTAGACTGGCAAATACAAAATTGTTAATTATTTGTTTATCTTATCGTCTGAGCCGAGAGTCAGAATTGCCGTCTGTATGCATGATATAATTAATATGGAAATTAGTTTGAACTCGAATCCCCAGTGTGTACACAAAAATATAAGTGCAACCGATGTGTTGAATACCTGTTACTCTTTTTTTTAATTGTAAAGAAACTTAGTGTTAATAATATACGGATGCAAGTTGCGTATACAGAGGTTCTCTCTTTTTCTTGCCTTTCCAGAGGGAAAATGGAAGAGGGCGACTTTGATAATTCGGCCAAAGTAATCGATGTTCGGTAATCCCACAGTGAAGTGATATCCTCTCAATAATATTGTAATGGTTTGGTATATCATGTCGAATGGAATCTCTTTTTGATTGAAATTTCATGGGAAGTTACTCACATAATTAATGGATGAGTGGCAAAGAAGAGCAAACAAATTAAATTAGATTTTTAGCTTGCCAAGCAAATCAAATTAAATTAAATTTCATGCGACTTTAATAATTTGGCCAAAGTTAAATACATGCTTAGTTTTGTTTTAGCTTTTAACTGTATTTGTTTGGGCAGCTCTCCTTATAGACAAGTAACATCATGGAGCAAGTTGGCTGGGATCGTGCGGCAAATAACGTCTTAAAAATTATGAGTTTCATGCGACATTAACTTTATGTTTAATTGACTTTCTTTCTCTGCTCTACTTTTCTTCACGGCGCGCGTAAAATTTCTTTCTACTAGTTTCAGAGAAAACTAATTTTGTATTAATTTAACATTTTCACTGTAATCCTTCCGATGATCCTTTTTATAAGACAAAGATAAAATAATTTTTTTTCATTTTACTTACAAAATACTAAATACTTCTATGTCATTAACTTTTTATCATAATTTTTTCCTTTTATCTCTATGGACGTTGATAAGAAAAAACATGTTGAAGTTGGAAATGCTTTATTTGAAATGAAGCCTTTAAAATCCCCTAGGGTAGATGGGTTACATGCCCTCTTTTTTCAAAACTAGTTGGATGTTGTGGGACATAGTCTTCATTCTCTAGTTAAATACCTTTGGCTTGGGAACACTCTAGATGCCATGCTCAATCGCACTTTGATTGCTTTGATTCCCAAGATGAGTAAGCCCCAAATCTTAAAGGAATTTCGCCCCATTAGCCTTTGTTCTATGGTTTATAAAATTGTTACTCAAGTTTTCATCAAGAAAATAAAATTGTTACTCAAGTACTTGCCAACCGTATTAGAGTTGTCCTACCTAACATGGTTGCACGATTCCAATCTCGCTAGTTTCATTCAGAATAGGAGTATTATTAATAATATCATTATTACCCAATAAGTAATGCATTCTATGAAGAAAAAAAGGGACCAAGTTGATCTTCAGAAAGCTTTTGATAAGCTACGGAGGAATTTTTATTAAAGATACTTTAAATAATGTGGGCCTCCTTGCACCAATGATTATTTTAATCACAATTTGTCTAACTACATCTACCATGCAAATGTCATGGAATGATGAACCTCAACTAGCTTTTCTCCACAAAAGGCATTAGATAAGGTGATCCACTTTCACTTTATATTTTTGTTACTTGCATGGAATGCCTTTCCCAGGCTATTAGCTCAGAAGTTGCAAAAGCGACATGGCATACCATCAAGATGGGTTATAGGGGTGTTTTCCTCTCTCATATTTTCTTTTTAAATGATTTGATTCTCTTTAGCGATACTTTGGCCTCTCAAATTTACGTCATCCAAAGAGTATTGTAGCAATTTTGTCATTCTTCTGGGCAAACTATAAGTCATGCAAAAACTCAAGTTTATTTCTCTAGGAATGTCAATGCTTCCACTTGCAATAACATTTGTAGCAAATTGGGATAACACGCAACTTCCTTGGGTCGTTTTCTTGGTGTTCCTCTGATCATTGGCATAGTAACGTCCAACACTTTCCATTACACCTTGGAAAGATTACATCACAAGTTAGCTAGTTGGAAGAGTCAAGCTCTCTCCCTCACGGGTTGCATTACCCTTGTGAAATTTGTTCTCAGTTCTACTCCCCTGTGCACCATGCAAAGTACTTTACTTCCTTCCTCTTGTTGCAAATAAATTGAAAAATTGATAAGGAAGTTTATATGGGGCTACTCGAATGATCATTGTGGAATCAATTTGGTGAAATGAAAGGAACTTTGTCAAACCCTTAATTAATGGTGGATATGGTCTCCTGGATATGGAGACTCAAAACAAAGCTTTCATCTCTGGGCTTGCATATAAAATTATTTCAAAGCCAAATCTACTTTAGGTACGTGTTCTTAAGGGAAAACACCAACTCAATGATGATTTTTTGAAGGACATTAACAGAAGAAAATCATCATACTTTTGGAAGAATGTGGCCAATATGTCAAGAAGCAATGTTTCATGTCAAGTGGACGCCAAGGAACGGGACACATATTCGATTTTGGCGTAACTTTTGGATAAGAGATTCTGGCCCATTACGATTTCTTGCATTCACTGATATTTGAGTCTGATACTAATTTCAGACAATATTGATCACAATGGATAGTGGAGTTGGTATCTTTTCCAACACCTCCTACAAAATAATATCATCAAAGATCTTGCTTAGGTCATAATTCATGCTCAAAGATCATAACACCCTTTCTGTGTGTGGAATCTCAACACTAATGTTAAGTTCATTGTTGAGTCATTCTACAAGGTTGCTTTATCTTTGGATTGGAATACCCCTAACGCTAGATGGATGCACATTTGGAAACTTCCTGTGGCCCAAAGAGTTCGAACCTTTATGTGGCTTTTGCTCACAGGTCGATTACTCACCAATTTAGAGAGATATAGAAGGAAGATGTCTATCGACTAGAAATTCTCACTTTGTGATGATCATCTAGGAAGCATAGATCACACTTCCAAGGATTGTCCCCTGGCAGCAGTAGTGTGGAGGAAAGTTTTGCCATAGGATATGCGCGCTGATTTCAATGGGAATAGCTTAGATAAATGGCTCAACTACATCCTAAAGGATGGCCAAGTTGATACATCTGGAAGATTGGAGTTAGCATTTTATGCTGGAAATTATAGAACATTAAAAACCTTCATTTTTTTGTTCGTTCTCCCTCTTTTTAGAATTTACCCCCTAAGTTTCCTTGGTGGAATGAAGAGTGGGATCCTCCCAAGTCCAATTTATTTAGGATAGGGTACACTAATAATACATCCTTACCCAAGCCTTCTTAATGATCAAATTTCTAAGGATTTGGGGTAACGCATACTCTTACGGTTCGATCCTATAACCTCTCCTATTCAGGAAAGAAGTTGTCAACATTGATACCATTGATTCAAAAACTAATTGAGATGTATAATGATAAGATATACATGAATCTTGTTATATATATATATATATTTTTTTTTTTTTGTGACTAATTTGATATTTTTAGGAAAAAATGTTAGGCTAAAAATTACAATTTTTTAAAAATAAATTAAAAACATAAAATTCATTAATAATAGAAAATCTTAATTTTTAAAAAGGTAGAATTAAATAATAAAATTCAAAATATTCAAAAAGACTAAAATAAATTCATAAATTAAAAAATATTTAATTTGTATTATCTGTAATTTGGTCTCAGTTTGCAAACCTCATTTCATCCTAATCTTATTATATTTTCTCCTTCTATTTAATGTTTCACAAATAAGATTATATTAAATGGAGTGTATTTTAATTAAATAATGAAACAAGATTTTAATATTTTTCTTCCTTTAATTTGTCTTAATTCATAAATTTTAATTAAATATAAAATAATGAAACACATATTGGTAAAAAGAAAAAAGAAAATTAAAGAAACACATAATCACCTTCTTCCTCATAGTTTAGAGCATCACACACACACACACACACACACACACTCAAAAACATGCACTGCGAGTACCTCCTTCTTCCTCCTCTTTTCTTTAAGCCCTATGTTTCTTTCTTATCTTGCAAGAGTCTCTACAAACACTCCTTCCCTCATCTTCTTTTCCCTCTCCCCACCACCAGCGTCATCTCTCTCTCCCACCACCAATGCATTTGTCGTCTCCCTCTCTACCTCAACCAATGAGGGAAAGCAACAAAGATGGAGCAGACATGATGATCCTCAACCTCCATGGACGGCAATTGTGGTGAGTACAGATACAGTTAGCTGCAGTGACTCTAAAAGTAATGGTTGGTGCTTATTAAAGTGAAGAAGGAGCAGGTGAGTTGAGAGAATGAGAATTGGAGAGAGGAATATGACAACAAATGCCAACCAACATTTATAACGTGCATCAAAAAAGCTCCCTCATTTGGCTTCATTAGAAACGCTCGTTCTGCAATCAATGCTTGTCTGAAATTTTTTTTATTCAAACATGTTCTAATTATCCAAACTGAGGTTAGAGTCTTCAAAACTTTAGTTACAAAGTAATCCAAACGCACAAGTAATCTGCACGTACAATGATATTTCTACCGCCAAAGAGAGTAAAATTCTACCACGTGTACAGAAACTATGTTTCATCATGTTGTTATAAAATCTAGAAATCTCTCTCTCTCTCCCCACACCTTTTTACCAATTTTGCTGAGGTGGAGCTCAGTCTTGTCATGGCATATTTGCATCTGTGTTGGCTTGACACTTTCGAAATCGTCACCGATATTTGATCCGACGTCCACGTCTGGTTTAATTTCATCATACCACGAGTTCTCGTCCCCTTTGACTAAAACATATTTCACTTTGACATCCGAACCTCAATGAAATGATGATATATTGCTTTATATGCATGCAATTCTAATAAAAGCTACTAAAATTACTGTGTCTCAATTCATGTGCATTTATTTAGAAATTTTATATACCACGAAATATCATACTGTACGGGCGGGTCCAGTCACAGAACACGGCTGTATTTACTCTGCATTTGAATCGCTTGTTTTGAATACGGATTATTTGAGTCTGCAGACAATCATTATCATTATCAATTGTATAATATAAAATTAATTTAGGATAAATTAGCTCACTAATCCAAAAAAATCTTGTGTTCAAAAAATATTGATATATAAAAGGTTTAGTGTTGATATATAAAGTTTTATAATTAAAAATTTAAAAATTTACAAAGAGTTTATCATTGATATACAACTGTATATCATTGACAAATATAATAAATTAATTATAATGTAAAATACAATAAATGTTAGACTATTTATTTGGTTTGATTATATTATGTGAGCTATATTTGCAAAAACCTCTAAAATTTATATCGAGATATATTATTAACAGATTATCAACACTATAGCATGATTATCTCAAATCATGCATAATATGCGAAAGAAAAGAGCATGTTTAATTCATATAAGACTGTCTATAGTTTTGGGTGATTGACTAAAGTTTTTATCTTGACATTATCCAGAAAAGAATGCAAGACACCATTTGGAGACACAAACAGGCTGGGACACAGTTCTTGGATTTCTCGTTTTTTGGAGTCCATTCTATTGGATTGAAACCAAGACCAGGCATCTTGAACACAAACCCAGCCCACAACTTGGCCCGGACCCGGACTGCCCATTGTTTACCGCCGAAATAGAGTACCCGTCTTGATCCCTCTTATACTACTCCATAGGAGATAAAACAAGATCCTAGTGGTCAATCATCTTTAATGTCAAGAACTTAAATTATAACCCAACATGATTACATCACCGATCTCAATTCCCAACTCATCCCTCGGAGTCGAGGTATTTGTGAGCTGAGACTAAATGATGAACAATTTAGTTTCGGCTTGACCTAGCGTTCGAACGAGAATTGATGTATCCTCTCCATAGTCGATGAACAACAACCTACCCTTCCATGAAACACGCACAAACTGTGTCCTCTAGGAATGAATTTATTTTAAGGAAGGGAAGGGATTATGGAGATACGGAAGATGGTAGGGGGAATAGAGTGATTTCATAGGGATGGGTACAAGAGGAAAGAGAAAGCAGTAGCGTGTAAGCCTGAGGCATAGCTGATTGCCAGAAATAAAGGGACAGAGAGCCACCCAAGCATTTATTTGAAGGGTTAAAGCAGCTGTAAAGTTGGTCTTGTGGGGTTTGCGTTCTCTCCTTGATTTCAAGCTCGCACCTTCTCTCCATTGAACAAGACAGAGGAAACACATCTCATATTTATGAAGTTTGGAGGCTTATCATTGTGACCACTTCCTTAATAACCTCACTCATCACTGCCTCTCGCTATTCATGTGACATCCCTCGCTCCCACAGAATCGGGTTCCCACCACTTTAATTCCCCTCACTTTCATTTCTACCACCGTCCTCTTCATTCCTAATGTTATTCCCTCCCTATTTATTACCTTCCTGTTCTTTGCTCCATTATATTTTCAGTTATTACGACTGGGAATATCATTATCGTTATCCTTATTGATTCTTTGTGGTCCCACTTGTATTGTATTTGAATATCTTAATTCATATAAACAAGTAAAAAATGTATATGTATTTGAAGAATTTATAAGCGTTTGAAAAATCTCAATTATCTCGAGTATAGAAAGATACACAATCTATAAATCCTCAGAGTGTTTAAAGAGTGCAGAGATAATAGAGTAGTAGAGAATGAGTCATGTGTTTGCGGATATCGATTGATCAACTTATAAGGATCAGATCGATAACCGCTTTATTAAATAATTAAATAATTATTATTTATTATATCTGACTCAGTCAGTTAAGAGATAGGAAATAACTGATAGCTATTAGGTTGTGGGTTGAGCCTCTGTCCATTGGGCTCACTTGTGTGATCCACCTATTACGATCCACACAAGATCATAAGAATCAATTTGCTTAGGCTTATTAATTAATGTTACTCCATAATAAAAATTTCCTAACAACTGGACTTTTACTCTTGCTTCCCCCTGCTTCTTCTGTTCCTCACTCCTTCATCTCGGTTCATCTGCCATTCGACTCCACGAATTGCTTTGTTCAATCGCTATACACGGCACTCAATTTTTATTTGTCCCCTTCTTCTATAAACTAGTTTAGGCTTTCATAACTCTGACGCTGTGTACTCTTTTGTTTAATTATGGATCATTAGTCACGAGCTAAGGTCCGGGCGCTCCGAGCTAACATCGACTGTGACTTGGCTTTTGGATTTAATAAATTTTCGTCCTTTAATATGCTTATAGAATTGAGGTATCCTAGCAGCTTCTTCACGTGTTTCGTGTCCGTATTCTTTGCTGTAAACTGGAACATTACTAGTTAAAACCTTCATCACTTGACTTCCTTCTTGTTCCGTAAAACCTGAGATGCAATTTTTAGTTTTTTACTAAACGTTACGTGATGTTCGCATCTCTTCGTGTCCAACCACTTCGAAGAACAGCGAATTGAGTAACTAAACCTGTTGGATTTGCGTGGGCTCTATTGACTTTTTTACACCGATTGTGCAACGTAAATGCGTGGTTAGGTTCATGCTTTGCATAGTAGTTTTGCCCTCTCAGATAGTACGTTTTCAACTTTCAACCACTCTACGGTGCTGGACCAAGTCTCACAAGAGTAGGAATGTTCTCTGAGTGGCTTCCATTTGAACTGAAAACCCAATGATGGCCAACTAATGAAGGTGGCTTCTTGAAGGATCGGGGTTGGTTTTGAACCAAGTTCAAGGATTAGGGCTTGGAAATAAACAAAGCAAATGATATACCAAACTCTTGACTATGTCACTTGAGAAGCAGATAAAGTTCGCTATTCCATCATCTTCATCCATATCCTGCTACAGATGCCTCATCCAATACTTTTTGTCTCCGGTCAAGTCAGAATTTCAACAATATCACTTTCTGATTAGGAATCTGACGGTGAATTAATGGGTAAACTATATTGCTGCAATCAAGCCTTTTTTTTGGCAGAGCACCTACTAAAGTAAAAGGTCAGAAATACTATTCCTTCACCCTTAAGATTCTTCTTCCCCGTTTTGATTTTACGCGACACGTGATTGGAAATGCTTGTGTGTGTGTGTGTGATGATGATGATAATCTGAAATCCGAGGGGAAAAAAAACCTTTTCGATTATTATAAATAATAATTCAAGGAGCAAACGAAGTGAAGGAAGAATTCGAGAGGTCAAAGAATACAATTTCAGAAAAGAAGGGGATGGGAAAAAGAAATCAGGCAATATGAGTGGTCCAAATTTCTTATGTGTGAAGTAGTATATCACCGAGGTACAAGAACAGAGATCTCAACAAATATCTTTGATAAGGAAGTTTCAATCATGGGGACCATTCCAACGGTTGACATTATTAAATCACGGATTAAGCTTTTATCTCATTAATAATAAGACGCTCACTGATCTCACTTGAAAGAAAAACAAACAACAAATGAGAGAGCAAGAGAAAAAGCGAAGACATACTCAGAGAGGTGGGAGACACAGTCGTCTTAGCTGTCGAATTAATTGATAACCGTTTTAGGCCCCTACATGTTTATTACGAAACCTGTGAGACAAAAGATACATTAACGTGTCTAGTCCATAGAAGTACACGCAGATTCAGGCTTATACCGCGACTTCACCATTCTTGCCTTGGGCTGACCTGACCTCACTCCAGAAAATAGGAATAAAACTAACATGTATTGTTGTTGTTATATTACGCGCATGCATGACATGAAAGTACTCGATTTTTTATTCCCAAGAAGATTGTCTCTTTGCTATTATAGTTACTATTATTCCCTGCCAGAAGCTAAGAGACACGACCACACTTAACTACAAAACACAGAAAGAAAATTCAACCCTACAATTCAAAGTTAAATTTTGTCTTTTGTTTGGTCTCTAGGAGAGCCAGAGGAAAACAAAAAACAAAAAAAGAAAAGAAAGAAAGAAAGAAAAATCCCCTCTTATCCTCTACCCCCTCCATTTCTCAGCCTCTGCTAGCAGATTTTCATAGGTCGTACAAGGATCATGTTACAGTGATTTTGTCCATGAACGTTCTGATATGGTCCATCAACCTTCTCTTTTCCTTTTCTTGCGCCCATTCATATTACCCTTTTTTTGATAAGCAATTCAAACGAAATAGGACTGATGACAGAGTTGCTGTAGGATGAAGCAGAGGATTAATCGTATCTAACTCCGTTCAGGACACGTGCCAGTTAAGCCTGAGAGATGTGAGCCGTAAGATTGTCACCGCAATCGTTAATTTTCCTTCTCTTGAGATCTTTCTCTTGTCTAAGGGTCGTGGCAGCAGCGGGATTTCCGTCGGTTCTTTCGCTTTCTGAGCTCAGAAAATGATGGTCCAATACATTAACCGGAGTGTCTGAACTGGAAACCATGTCCAACACAGACTCGTACCCCTCCATTGCAATGTCTCGTATCACGTTGTAACACTGCAACATGGTTTCCTGCAGTGCAAAATTATCATCGTACCCTCAATCACCCACAAATTGTTTGACCACTCTGTATTTTTTTAACCACTCAACGATCGTTCTAAACCTCGGAAGCTTATCGAAGCGAAACAGGAAAAATGGAAAGAGAAAAAAAAAAGGGGGAGGGTGTATACTTTATTTACGTGTGGGCAGTCTGAAATTGCCGAGAGAAAGCACGGATATTGAAAGGGAAACAGCTCATGAGAAGCATACAAGAGGGCCGATGCAGCAATTATGGAAGGCTTGAATTCCAAAAGCTTTATCTCTGTAAACAGGACATGATATATTCAAGAAATTAATATTTCAAGTGAATTCATCACATTCTGATGAACTGTTCCACTGATCCTCAATTGTACCTCTCTGTGATTTAAATATAATTTGGGCGGCTCGATCCTTCAGAACTTGCCTCAACGGCGGGTCTTTGAGCATGAACAAGGTGATGAAGAAAGGAATGAAAGAGAAGGGGGTGATGGAACGCATTCGCCATTGGAGAGCTCCCAAGATCAAAGCTTCCATTCTCTGTACTGTTTGTGTTTCAAAGATGATACCGCCGTCACCCTGCTTCAGAAAGGCCTGGTAAAACGAGCTCTGGTGAAAACCGATACTCTCTCGTAAACTCGCTGCTTTCGAGTATAACAGTGGTAGTCATAGTGCTTTACCTGGACATCGGTGACGGAAAACTCTGTTTTTATCATCTTGGCAGCTAGAGATAAGCATGATACTGCAAGGAGCTTGAGGGTCCATGGCTTTTGCTCCTGTCATATCCAATTGGAGTTAAATCCTTAAGAGGGGAATCCAGACACTATTCTATCTCCATTAATTCTGATGATTAAGAACAGGATATAGAATGTAAGCCTAAAAGGACCAATGCGATTGGGTGAACACGAGAAAACATGGGAAAAAGGGGATATTAAGGAGGGTGAAGGTAATCAAGTAAAAGCGCATACCAGTGTGACTTGGGAGGCGAGAAAGCGATCCAGATAGTTGATAGCCAGGTAGGAGAGGAGGGGATCGAAGGTACAGGGCAGCTGAAAGAAGAGAAGCAATGCACATTGAGAGCAAGGGAAACAAAAAAAGAAGAATGCAGAGGGGGCGTACCTGAGAGATGAGAGAGATGAGACGGGTTCGCAGAGAGAGGTGAAAGTGAGCGGAGTGGAGAGTGAGGAAGTAGTGGCGGGAAGGGATGTGGTCAGGTTCAGCCAGGAAGAGGGAAGAAACGGAGTGAGAGTGTTGGAAGGGGTTTTCGAGGTCAAACTCCATGGGAGGGAGAGATTGTCAGGGGCAGTGGAGGGAGCATGGGGTTAGGTAAAGGAAGAGCAGAGATGAATGAAGAAGGCGAGTGGCAAACACAGGAGAGTTCGGTCCCCTCACCCTAAACCAATGTTTTAAAAGCTACTACATGAAAACGAACAACTGTGGTGATTCCAAAAAAAAAAAAAAAAAAAAGCCAAATGAAATGTTGAACCGAAAAAGTAATTTCATAGTCTCCCTTGTTAGACTAACAGTTCAATCAATTATATAATAACTATATAATAATAATAATAAATGCATATATAAAATAATTGTAAGAAACAAACCTATAGTGTACTTAATTATTAATAAAATGATATAACATGACCTGAAATTAGTAATATTATAAATTATAATTTATTAAATATAAGTAAATTTTAATTAAATTAGATATAAGTAGATTTAAAAGTATTTCTATTTACACATATAATTATTAATATCTTTATAAAAAATAATTTTAAATAAAAATTTATACTTGTAAATTATTTTAAAATAAAGTTGACTTTTAGTATGAATATAATTTTTGAAATTTTTATTTTTTTTAATTTTTAAAATTTTTTAATATTATATTTAAAACTGTTTGATTTTTTAAAAATCACTTCAGTTTTTAATTCAGTTCTAGTTTTTGGCTTATTAATAGCTTAATTCTAGTCTAATTCAACTCAATTATAAAAATAGTGTTTTAGTCAAAACTGAATTGTTAATAACTCTGATCAACAATATGATTGGTTCAACCATTCAATTTAGTCGAGTTTTTAAAATTATGCCCGAAACCCCTGGCTCCCTCTCTTATTCTCTTCTTCGTTTTTTTTCCTTTGATGATCTTGTTCCATTCCACACCCCTCACTCAACACTCCACGCATGATGTTTTCCAGATGTACATCCCTATTTTCTTCTGTAAACATCAAGCTTAACCAACATTCTTATATTCTATTTTTCTCATTGTTTCTCCATTATTTTTTAGGAACATACATTTTACTCTCCTTTTCTAATTATATTGTTCGTCATCCGCTTCCTTTTGCATGCCTTGTTCGAAAAATAACAGTTTTTATGGATTTATTCTTTTATAATTTCAAGACAAGTTAATTACTAAAATAAATCAAGGGTAAATAAAAAAATTTAAAATCAAGTATATTAATTATATTTCTTTAATATAAACTCAAAAAGCCTCTTGAAAGAAATGACGGAGGCTGAGGTAAGCCATCAGGCAACCAATTTATTATTCACACAAAAAAATTGACTTATTTTTTAGACATAAAAATAGATATAAAAAAAACTAAATCAATAAAATTAAGTTTAGTAAAAGGAATTGGTTTTTGGTGACAAATCCGCCCGCTAATAGATGCGCCATTGAACGTCCCACTGTATAAAAAAAGGGGGAAAAAAGGGAAAAAAAACAGTAAGTAAAATAAACGTTGTTCGTCTCTCGCTGGACTCAGACAAAGGAAGCGCTAGTAGTACGCTCCTGGTTGTTTATCGCAGAGAGTATTCTTAATTTCCTAACAAATTAAGTGTGACCCACACACCCAGTCACCCACCTCCACCTGTTATTGAGCTGTATGTTTCTCTTAGAAAAACATCGAGCAAAGTACTGAAAATGCCAGTTCTCTAATCTATTCATGTTTCAAATACATTGTCTTACAAGACAAATGAAGCATGTTCTGTTTTACAGAGTTATCAGATGGTTCATGCATTTATATTTGATATTTACAAGCAAAGCTTACATTATGAGCTCATTGAGATATTAGGTTACCTCGCAAATGTTCATAAAATGCAATTTACATAATTCGTCTTTATCGTTGCACTCGTACCCGACTAATGCGGCCAGGCAGATCATGGGAAGCGTTGTTGCAGCTGCATCTCTTGTGGTAATGTTTGTCACGTGGTCATGATCCTCATTCTTTGCAATGAAATTAATTAAATGTAATGCAGTAGAATTACTCGAACGTGCTTAGCTTAAGTAAAAGCAAAACCAAAAACAGGCACACTCTACCCGAGGACGAAATTAAAAAAGCATCAAATTTAATGATGCCCATACATAATAGTAGATACTCCCTCCTAACTTTATTACAATACTTTTTTAAAAGATTTTTTTTATTCTTAATAGAAAAGATTTGATGAAGTATTAATTATATTTTTAGATATTACTTATACTTAAATTTATTACCTATGAGTACGAATATAATATAAATTTAAAATTTTTATTTAAATAAAAATAAAATTAAAATTTGTTATATTTTTAAATAAAGTTAACGCGGATAAAATATATAGTCAGAGGTGGTTTGATTTATAACAGAAGCTGGAGAGTGCCTACACCTCTCCAATAATTAAGGAAAAATATAGGGTGAAGAAGATTCAAATATGGAATACAATAAAACCCAGTGGGGCTACCACGATCCCCCGGCGCATTATTTCTTGATATAAAGACGGTGACAAGTTTGAAATCCTGCTTCTCCTCACCGAACCATGCTGTGAACTACTTTACCCTTTCCCCCACTTTTTTTAACCTTTTGTTTTCTTTGTAAAAAAACTGTTAACAAAATGACTACAAATTAGACAGCCTTCTCAATGTCACGTTCGTGGCTGGGTGATATATAGCTTGGCTTGTGTATATGAAATGAAGAACACCCTCCAAGACAAAGAGACTAATATAGCAGGGCAAACTATTAAATCTTGTGTGTTTTTTTTTTCCATTAACTACATACTCGATCCATGTTGGGATGTTGATCATGAGACGATTGTTTGTATTAATATCCATTGTTCACCGACAGTTTCTCAATTAATTCCAATAGTTCGCTCCAACAGAAATTTACAAACACATATGGCTTCATCTCTCGTGCCAATAATTAAGTGCTTGTAAGATAATGACTGCACGTGTTAAGTTGGATTAAACCAAGCATATGTGCGCGCGCGCGCGCTATACGTCTCATGTCTTTAGTCTGCTTTCTTTTATAAATTCTTGTTAGTATACTTTTGAGACTTCATCTTGGGTCTATGGAAGAAGGCCAAGGGAGCTCTGGGTTGAAAGGGCACGCATAGCGCACGACTATTCTCTGAAAATTAGTTAAATATTTTCAGCTGTGGACTTTAAGGATTTAAATTTCAAATAACTTGACTCCAGAAAACTCAAGCATTGAATGAACTAAGGCTGATAAAAGCTTCCCTCTCCAGAAACATGCATCTTCAATTAATTAATTAGGAATAGGAATCTTTCAAAATGGAAACCGATCCCATTTATAAACGCCGGATTTTGGAATTACGTACTCGTCATCAATATCCCATAAATTCCAAATTACTCTAAACCTCCCTTTCCTTAAATTATGTTACACGAAATGACGCAAGTTTGTGCAGTACTCCCTCTTGCTCCAAATATTCACGCAGGACCCTTTTGAGTAATTTGTCTTGGTTTTTTTATATAAAATCCACCAGATCCATTTTGTCTCCAGTATTAAATGGTTTTTAAACTGGAATACCCCTAATAATAACCGTCCAGCTTAATTTCTCTCTAGAAAGCCATTATTGGTCAAGATATTCCATTAAATATAATGGCAGGGGTCATCGTGTTAGAACGGTGCAAATATTTGACATATGAATTAATCACAAATAGAAATTAAATTAATTTTCTTAATATAATCTGAATGAATCCGTAGAAAGGATCGAACTAGGAGTACAAGTAGTTAAAACAAACGTAATATAAAATTAGATTTTGCATGCATAATTTCAAATCACCATCGTAAAGTAAGTCAATAATAAAAGCACGACAGACAAAAACTGGACGGACTGCTTCCTCCGTCGTTTCAAATCACATTAAGCGCGCACGTGGCGAATTAGATGTATATATTGATGAGAAAAAGAGAGGTAAGCATTGAAATGAAAGAGATCATGCGTCCCAGGTTTGTAACATGTAATTAAGCATCCATAAACAAGTAGCACTTGGCTAAAACTGCAGTGGTGACAACTCATCAGAACTAAAGTATCGGTACTCCCGTTTTAATTATCATCATTTTTAAAAAGAAGAAGAAGAAGAAAGGGAGGATTAGTAATCAGAGGCCTCGTTTTAACCACATATAGGAACTGCTGGTCCAACAGATACGACTCTTCGTGTTTCATAATGAATTTGTACTCGCTCTCGTTGCTGGCCCTGCCAATACTACAGAGGATGATTTCCAGTATTCAACGTAAATATAATTAAATAGAGAGAGTTTAAAGTAGGGGCTCGGGTTTGGCCGGGCGTTACAGAGACTAATATATATGGATGGTTGTTTGAAGAAGAGACACGATGCAGCTTTGACAACTTTACGGGCAAAAGCCTAAACTTGCACATATATGTTGAGTCCAAATCTCGGTGCTTTTCTTCAAGTGCGCTAATATATGGTGGGTCCGTGCTTTTTCCCTCAACGTATTGGAGGGGCTAAAAGCTGAAGCGAAGGCAGCAACCAAGTCCCGCCCGCCCAGTGCAGATATGCTCATACGTCTAGTCACTGTAACGGGCGAGCTGAGACCTGAGAAATGGCACCGCACTGCGCTTCTCAACGCACCTATCTCTGAACTCTGAAGCCCATTCAATATTTTAGACTTTGACCTTTCACTTTTGGGACTCTAACTCACATGGAGGGGTTACATTTTATTTACTTTGCGGTTAAAAAAACATATGACGGTGAGCTCTCCATCATTCATGACTTTTTTGGCCCTTTAATTTCAAGGGACCAACTATAAATATAGACGCCTGTCTCTCTCCCTCTCTCCCCTGCATCCTTCGTCAACAATGCTAATCAAATTAATGCACGTATATGTGATTGAGAACACGAGTGGTTTTGTAATGAGAAGATGGAGAAATCCATCACGCTGTCAACGAGGACAAATGATTTCCATGACCCAGGCATTCAATGGGTCACTCAGCTTACACTTTTTTTGTTTGGCTGTATTATATTATATACATAGCTTGACTTGACCTGTTTAGATATCCGGTTCTCGTCATCACTAATTTTATTTAGAAGATAGGGTTACAATTTATTTAAAAGGTAATTTTAGAAAATTTTGGCAATGTTCTAAAAATCTAAATCTTAGTTTGCATAAAATAGTTCAAACATAGCAGTGAATTTGTAAGCCATCTCAACTTGCATCAGTAGTCAACAGCAAAAAGGAAAAAAAAAAAAAAAACCATTTTCAAATGGAACACGCTAGCTGGCTTGCGTTTTAAATTTGTACCCGTCGAGCGCAATGAATCGAGTAAGAGAAACCTAGCAGGAGAAGAAATGCTTGATAGCCCAAGAACACCTTATCCGGTAATATGACAATGACTGCCTTTGCATGATTAACCAAAAAGCCACCGCATAATTGTTTGTAATTTATGATTTTTTTTTTTTTCCCGTCCTATGATATCTAGCTAATGGGATACGACTCCGCATTAGAGGAAACACTTACCCAATCACTCTTCCCTTGAAAAGTATAATCAAAGTGGCACGGGTATCTCAGTTACATGTTCAAGCTCTTATTTATGTTCCCTCCAGTTTCATAGGTAACTAGGTTAGATTAACTAACTTGCGAGGAATAATAAAGCTAGTGAAAATAAATGAGGTTCTTAATTTATTATCCTAAATAAAATTTATTTGTCAATAATACCCTCATTTAATTGTATGCATCTGATTGATGCCTCGTGAACAAAATACTACTATAATTGAAGGTTGTAATTGAAAATGTCGCAAATATTTAATGCATCAATCACCACTTGTTTGTTTCTATTGAGCCACATAAGCTACCATTGACTTCCAAGTCAGCTAAAGACCAAACATCAGAATCAGACAACCAAAAGAAAAGGCATACAGAACAATTCATGTGATATACATCACGCGTAGTTTATCCTAGATAGTTTCATTTGTAACGCACTCCATTGCTCATCTCCCTGCACATAGGGGGGCACTTGTATATACTGTACATCAAGAAATATACATAAATTTATTTACTTTAATTTTCATTCTGTTATTGCTCTAGAAGTTTCTTGCATTCAAGGCCAAATCAAGCTTAAAAAAAAATGTTACACATGAGATAGAAGGAAGGAGCAAAAAAGCAGGGAGACAAGAAGCTTTGGGATATTGCAGCATGCAAATTGGGTTTTCAATGTGTTTGATCGCTCCGAAATGTCTTCGAAAAACGTTCCAGTGTTTGCTTTGCGGGGTTGCTTCAAGCTTGCTTCATCTCTGTGCCACGCCCTTTCCTTTTACTATAACATGGTTTTAGCTGACCACTCCTTTTGCTTTCCTTGTTGGGTGTTATCTTCTTTGACGATAACTAGTAGATTCGCTTCTCTGTGTCTTGATCCAAGAGAAAGCCTAAAGACACCCGTTTTTTGTTTTTCATTAACTGCAAGACTAATAACCCGCTTTTGTTCTTCTTTCGCCTCCTTTCCTTTTGGTAACACGCGCGCGCAAAAAAATTTGCGGACTGTTGAAGATCAGCGCTGGATTTTTTATTTATTTATTTTAACAGCTGAGAAAAAAGAGAGAGCACGCTTCTCGCTTCAAATGATATCACCGTATTTACTATTTACTGAGGACCCGAGAAATGGATGAAAATTATATAGAAAGAAGGAGGAAGGGGGGGATGATGAGTGGATGGAGCACGCCATACCCCCCATGCAGAGAGCAGCATCATTATATGCATAGCGTTGGCAACGGAGGCGGTAGACAAGTGAGTGGGCCTTCCCCTGCGCCCAGACAAAGTTAGAAGCCTACATCCATAATTATGTTCGTTTGGACTGTTATCACCCTCTTCTGCCCCCGTCACTTCTTGTTTCTGGCCATACCCTTTCTTCCGTTTCTATATTCCAAAGACTCACACCCTTCTGTCTGTGCACTTGTTCACAACTAAACTCACATAATTTCCATCTGAGATTTAATTACTTATTTCCAAGTCGATACTCTTGACTTTCATGACTTATTCCCTCTTTATCACTCTTACTTCAGCCAAATATGTAACCAATCCAACGCTTCGATTCCGCCATCACTTTATCCTTCACCTGACCCCTCAACCAGACTTGTCCTTCTTTAGGCCCATTGTCCATTACCACAAGTCCATGATCATATTTGGGCCCCATCTTTGACTTGGATACCCGGTGAATCCTACGGCCTGCATTTCCAGTACTTGCCCGCAAGAGAAAACGTGACATGTCCAAAAACAGAAGTTATGACGGCCTTGTTCGGCCCACGAAATAAAATAAAAATAAAAATCTGAAGACAGTGCCTTCGCAAAAAGATAAAAAAAAAAAACCATCGTAATCCCAAATTTGCTGAACATGTGGTTATATACCTCCCAACGTGGCAGCGCGCCTTATCCACCAACTGGTTATGGTGCGTAAGGTCTTGAAACCGATCGTCCAACACCTTGTGCATCATTTTTCCCACCCGCCATGGCTTCCACCACTTTGCCTCCGGCAACCCCCTCGCAGGTGAAGTTACTTTATTTTATGTAGCGATCAGGATAGTTTTTTGACTCTGAGGTTCAGTCTCACGGAAAAGACTCTTGTCTTTCAGCTGTGCTCTGGAAAGAATGGAATTCTGTGTTCTTCACAAGCCCTTCTTATGAAGCCCATAAGGACCCAGACGATGGAGAAGGGCAAGGGAAGGAGAATAGTTTGCCAGGCCACCAGTGTTCCTGCGGATGATCGAGTACCAGATATGGGGAAAAGGCAGCTCATGAATCTTCTTCTTCTGGGTGCTATTTCACTTCCTACTGCTGGAATGCTTGTCCCTTACGCCTCTTTCTTCGCCCCACCGGGGTAACATTTGGAATTCCTTATTCTCCTCTTTTCTTGTGATTCATCAAGTGATTTCTTTTCAGCCTTTATGCGTAGTGTGTTTTAGTTGAATGCTCCTGCACTACTTAATCACTCCTGGATTCTATATTGAGTCGCATAGTTTGGTGAATTGGCCTGTCGGTCGAACCAGAGCCATTGTAAAATGTATTTTCTCTGAACATCTCTAATACCTGTCATTGGAGCTCTCTTCACCAAACTTAAGAATTGGGGTATTTGTGAAATAATATGATTCAACTAATAGAATACTACTTTTAAGGATCTTTATAGTTGAAGGTACACCGTGGGAGAAGTCTTCTCTGCGCAAACCTTTTTTTTTTTTTTGGGGGGGCCAGACTCCTCTACAAACCTTGAATAAGCCATCATTTCTATTGGTGTGCAACATCTTAATTCAGTAATAGACTAATGGTGTTATATTAGTTGCCACTAATTCTTGGATAATTTCTTCTGTTATTATTTCAACTTTATGAATTTTATGGCGAGAGGCGAAGGAAGATTAACATGTTATAGTATGTTATTCTTTTTCTACTGATGCTACAAATCTATCAAATAAAATTCTAATAGAATGCCCATTACCTGATGGATTTTGCATTTAGAATCCAGACATTTGATGATTAACTGTTTAACTAGCCAAAGATGCCTTTTGTGATGCTTCACTCCTAGTTTTGTGAAGCTTTCATAGTTCTGACCAACTGAGAAAATACTGCAGCACAGGATCGTCTAGTAGTGGCACAATTGCCAAGGATGCCATAGGAAATGATGTTGTAGCTGACCAATGGCTGAAGACACATGGCCCTGGGGACCGTACCCTTACCCAGGGATTGAAGGTACGTTCACAATTCTTAAGCTCGCAGGGTGATACTACAGATTAAACACAGTGAATCTGTGAGCTTCTCATTCTTCTACTTTCCCAAGGATAGTAAACATAGTTGATACCCTTAAACGGATTTTGATCGGTGGTTCCCTTGTGAACGAATTTATACCTACAGAATTATAATAGTCTGGTGAAATTAATTAAAAGAGGATGAAATTATTTCTCTGGCAGTCAAACCTTAAGGCTCTTCTTCAATCATTGTTTATTTTGACAAATTTGGCCTTGTCAGGGAGATCCTACGTATCTCGTGGTGGAGAAAGACAGAACACTTGCAACATACGGGATTAATGCGGTGTGCACACACCTCGGATGTGTTGTGCCATGGAATCAAGCTGAGAACAAGTTCATCTGCCCTTGCCATGGATCCCAGTACAATGACCAAGGAAGAGTTGTGAGAGGACCTGCTCCCCTGGTAAGCTTAGTTATAGCAAGAAACTCAGATTATCCCATAGGAATACGCTAATGCCCATGATTGCTGAGAACCGAGGCATGTAGAGGTTGGCTTATGGTTTGCAATCATAGCATGTCAACTTGTTACTGTTGGTTTATTTACTGATAATTAGTGTAAAATCTATAATTAGCTCTAATCATCTCCAATATGATTAAGAATGTTTAATTCTTCTTGATGGACAGTCTCTGGCGTTGGCGCATTGTGACATAGATGATGGGAAAGTCGTGTTTGTACCTTGGGTTGAAACAGATTTCAGAACAGGAGAGGCTCCATGGTGGGCTTAAGTCTATGGAAGCCGTCCCTTATCTATCACAGGTTTGATCTGCAACATAACAATGGGATTTTGTACTAAATCCATGGGAGCATTTTATGTTCATTGTAGTTAATATTTTGTATATTGAAAATCATAAGATGAAAAGGAAACTGCAGAACCACGTTTTTCTTTTCTTTTCCGCCCGTAATTCTTTTGTCCATCTTGTCGCTGGTTTTATTTATATAATTTAATCCCAAGAATCAATACCCGAAGTAGTAAAAGGGTGGCCAGATAGAAGGTTGAAGAGTATGCGCGTCACCTCGCATTCGATGTATCGTCTCCTTTTGAACAGTTGCTGAGGCGTCTGCGGAATAAATAGGACCGCCACGCTTTGCCAACTTGTCCGTCGTTTCAGCCATTTTTTTTTCCCCATGTATAGGGATATGGATGTAAGCCCGAAATGGAAGCTAATTAATAATTTGCAACTACGAGATCTGTGAAGGAGAGACCGAAAACGAAACGACTACCTTGGGTATGTGTCATAATTTAGAAAATATATCAACAAAAATTATATTGTATAATAATAAAATGATTGGGATTGGCATATCCAACTATTTGCAATATCTTAATCAAATAAGATAATTCGCGATTTTTTGGTCAAGAATCAAATCACATTCTATTATATTCTTGATTTTAGTGAAAACTAATTAATTTAATTATTAATTGATTTAATATAATTTACACAACCAAAAAGGACTCAAAATATTTTGACCCCTCACAAACCGATCCAAATCCAACAATTTCAACTTGAGGTTGCACGCACTTTCACGGATATAGCTTGGTTATTAATTTTTTTTCCTTTATTTAGTAGTGATGCAGTGAAATCCGTGGCCACCAGGAATGAGAAATGGCTGTGGCTAGTTTTTTTTCTTTCTTTCTTTTTTTGGTCAATGAGTAGCAAAAGAAAATATGACAACAGAAAGCTACGAATCAGACCCACAATCAATCGCCATGCCTGGAGTAGCCGTGGCCGCTTCCACTTCCTCGTTTCAATTTGGTAAATTTGCTTTTGAGGATTCAAACTTCAAAACATAGCAATAGTTTGTTTAAAAAGTGATAAGTTAAATTATACATAAATCATTGATGATTGAGTTTAAATAATTTTAAATTACATTGATCATGTGCCTGAGTAATCCGAATGAGCATTTCATAGAAAAATAATTAATTGAACATAGATATAAAATGGGATATTGAATTTCATTGGATACGCTTTCAGAGAGATTTTAAAATATTATTATTTAGGAAAAGGAGAAACGGTGACATCATTTGTCATTTTCCCACGCTATATGACATTATGACTAGTCTAGTCTAATACCTTTAAGAAAAAAAAAATAAAAGAACAAGTAGAAGAAGGAGGAAAAATTTCAATGACGAACTTTGGCCAAACATAATATAAAAAAAAAAAAACTCTTAAATTTTTAAAATTTTACTACAAAACTTGATACTGAATAAAATTAAATTCATGATAAAAATAATAAAATGTCCTTATTTAAATGAACAACATACCATAAGTAAGACAACTTATTTATCATATATTATATGTTATTTATTTATTTACAAAATATTGTTTATTTCATTACTTCATTTATTTATAATCATACTTTCACTTAATTTCATTTTAAGGGTTATAAACAATTGAAGTAAAAAAATAAATAATATTTCATAAATAAATGAACAACATACAATATCAAAATGAATAAACTGTCTTATCATGAAATCAACACTTGAAATAAAATTAAGTAAAACTAGAATTATAAACAAGTGACGTTAGTTAATTGACAACGTTCCGTAAGTAAATAAATAATGTAAGAACGAATAAATCATCTTATCTATAATATGTTATTCATTTAAATGAAAATAATTTTATTATTTCTATTACAAATTTAATTTTAATTCAGTGCTAGATTATGCAATGAAATTTTAAAAGTTGAAGAGTTTTTTTTTTCATGACGTTTGATCAGGGGTTCCACCTAAAAATTTTCCTATAGAAGAAACTAGTATGAATGCGTGAGTGGAGCCTCCTTAATGGACACGATATTCAACGCATCCACACATAAACAGCATACTCTCCAATGTTATTAAAACCGAATCATCCTCTCCAATGTTATTAAAACCGAATCGAACATTGAACTGATAAAGACACTGATCAAAGTTGGATTGTTTGTAATTAAATTAATATATTTTAAATATTATACATTAAAAATTTTAAGAAATATGATAATTTAAAGATAACTAACTACTAATAAAGTGATAATTTTATCATACTTCAAAGTTCAAAGGTGTACTTTAAAGTCATTTATGGCCATGCACAACACAACACTATAGTCTAACATTCTCATACAATTCAATGGTCCAAATTTAACTAAAAAACTACAACATTTAACTGCCATATAAATCTTTTAAATTAAACTTCCAAAATCATGTTGAAGATCGCAAACATTTCTTTCAACTCTTATAGCATTTGATGAATCCAAAATAGGTAGACTTGTAAATATTTAAATAGGTAGACTTGTATATTGAAAATCATGAGATGCAAACATCTCCTACATTTGCACTTCAGAAATTATGTCAGAATATTTATAGGTAGACTTGTATATTGAAAAATAATTCAACATTGATTCTGTCACTTTACTCTTCTCAATAAATCCTTGATCATACAAGAATGCAGGTTTTAAAAAGTAGGCTGCTGCATGCAAATTATACTTCAAATGCTTATCCCACCAAGCTTGAATTATGCTTGTGTGAGGCTTGTATTGTTCCTTCTTTTTACGAATGAAATTTTTAATTGAATTTTTTGCTCTCTGCATACCCTCATAAACATAACCTAAAGATGATTTTTAGTCAACATCTACAATTTTTAATAGCTTGATAAAAGGACTTATAAGACATACAATTTGATGACAATCATTCCAAAACTTCCAGAGGATCCTAAACAATTACTACAATTAGTCAAGCCTTTTACTTCTTCTAATCAACACAAGTTGAGATCCAACTTTGCAATCTCTGCACTTCCAAATCTCCTTCCCACATCTAATAGTACATAGCTATGGTGGAACGGGGGATTATCTATTTAAATATTACTAGAAGCATTTTATAGAAGTATTTAATTCATTTTACAAAAGTTTAGATTATTTAATGATTTTTCGGTTGACACTTTTCATGGTGGAAGCAATGTTTTTTATGATGTTGATATTAATAATTGATAATTCATACTGATATTGAATATATATATTTTTTTTTAAAAAAAGAACCATCGGTATTTGACCCAAAGAGGATCGGCACCCGTAATATCGGAAAGGATGTTTATTTGATTTCCAAGTTTGAACGCGAGCATGACTTCGGCAGACTCCGGATCAACAAATTAGCTTCTATAATTGGAATCAAATTAAAACAATAAAAAAAATCCAAAAAGTCTAAAAGATTCGCCATGTGCATGCCTGCTCTGCAGAATCTTCCCTATAGTAAGTTCTGCCTCTGTTTCTTCTTTCCTTTATGTTTATCGCAATCGGTGCTTCTTCTCTTTCAATCATGTCGAAGTCGAACATTTGAAAATAGAATATAGGATCCCGGAATCTGAATTTTTCTTTTCATTATATCTTAAACTTTCTCGGGGATTTCAGTTTCAGAAAAATTTAAAATTTCTGTGAATCACCATGTCTTCGGCCCCCTCTTCCCCTCCTGTTCATCCTTTGGAACAGTAGCTGTCACGGCAGTCTGTCAATAGCTATAAATATAACTATTGGAAGTATTTCACTCATCACCGGTGCTGCGCAGAAATTGTATAACGGATTGTGATCCACTATTTTATTGCTACGTACTGGTCTTAATTATGCGTGGTTTGACGTAACCAACCTCACTTTGTTTGGACTCCTATTGGTAGTTTTTATTTTTTTTTTATGGGACTGCTCTGAATTATTTGAACTGCATATGCCTGCAGGATAATATATATATATATATATATATATATTTTATAGGGAGGCTGCATTGCTATCCATTGACTCATTGAAGTTATCCATGTCGCTCTCCTAAAATCAGCTTCTGCTATTTCGTTTTGCAGGACCTGATTGAAGAGCAACAGCCATGGCCATCGAGAATATACCTCGGGTCAATCTTGAGGTTTTTGATCGAATCTATAATTTCTTCCTCGATGCGAATGCGAATTATTTCTCACTTCTAATTATTCGCATCAACAGGGAAAATATGCTGCGATACTGGTCTGCTGGCTTCTTGGCAATGGCTGTCTTTTCTCTTGGAACAGTATGCTGACTATAGAAGACTACTACGTGTATTTGTTTCCGGTAATTGATTCTCTTTTGGGCTGAGATACCTCCTCATTATAGTGATCTGATGGTAACTGCTTGAAGACGAGTTTGAAGTTTGAAAATTTTGACAGCTTTTCATTATTTCAATTTTGACGAATGAAACTTCACGTGCTAGCTAACCCAATCCTATGTCCTCTTATCAACATTCAAGATATTGGCTTAGGTATTTGAAGCATATAGTCTCTTCCACAAACACACACTTCCGGATAATGCCCTTTTCCCTGCAAGAGCGGGCACGGGAATTAAACATGAAACGTTGGTTTGAATTTTGAAACTGTTGGTTTTGATTCTTAAGGTATTAAATTATCCTTTTTTTTTTCTTTCTGCAGAATTACCACCCCTCTCGGGTGCTCACTCTTGTATACCAGCCATTTGCTCTTGGCACACTTGCAATACTGGCTTATAATGAAGCAAAAATCAACACTAGAACACGGAACCTATTTGGATATACTCTTTTCTTCTTCAGTACTCTGTTGGTGTTAATTGTAAGTCCCCCTCACTTGTTGGCGATTTTTGATTCCTTTGGGTTGTTTGTGATTTTGTTTTGCCTATTCATGTTCCCTAGTTGGATTTAGCAACATCTGGCAAAGGAGGAATTGGGACCTTTATTGGTATTTGTGCCATCAGTGGCGCTTTTGGAGTTGCAGATGCTCATGTGCAAGGTGGAATGGTCGGAGACCTTTCTTACATGAGACCAGAGTTCATTCAGGTCAGTATTAGCAGTAGAATTGCTTTAAGGAGTTCATTTTTATGTTTGGCATGGGCTATTCGTATAATATGATTTTGTGCTTGTCATTGTTGCAGTCTTTTCTTGCTGGTTTAGCAGCATCAGGTGCATTAACCTCTGCTTTGAGATTAATTACAAAAGCTGCATTTGAGAATTCTAGGGACGGTCTTCGCAAAGGAGCAAGTGAGTTCAACTGTACAACATCTCTAAGAAGTCATTTGCTTCCTCTAATTTCAGTGTCTCTTATAATCTGTTCATTAGTAGATAATGTATATTACTTCGGGTGCTTTCCGGTAGGCAGCTAACTTAGAATTTAAATGCATTGATGCTTATCATGGAAATAGTTTTAGTTTTTGTACTCCTATTAGCAAGATCTGTCCATGTTCCTTTCATTTTAGTTTGAATAGATTTTTTTTTTTCCTCGAATGGAAAAGATTGTATTATAACTGAAAAAGCAGATATAAAAAGAAAGTCAAAAGAGATTTTTCGTCAACTACCACCCTAGATGAAGGGGGGGTCAAAGAGATTGGAGAAGATATCTTTTTCTAGCAGCGCTTTCTCATGACCTTGACAAGATCTGTTCATGTTCTTTTCATTTTGGTTTGATTGCATTTGCCTTTCTATTTGAAGAGGTGATTGAAAATTCTTAGTTGCCTCAGAATTCTGTGATGGCCGTTCCATTTCCTGCTTGTGGCCATCGAACTAAGTAACATATGTGATGGTCATATACTGTTCTTTTTTTGTTTAGCCACTGATCACTAATCATGTTATACGGTTATTGCAGTTTTGTTCTTTGCCATATCGATATTGTTTGAGCTTCTTTGTGTTCTGCTCTATGCATCTGCCTTTCCTAAACTACCGATTGTCAAGTACTACCGTTCAAGAGCAGCCGCTGAAGGATCCAAAACTGTTACAGATGATCTTGCTGCTGGTGGCATCCAGACATCAAGCATTGAAAGAGTATGGCTTCTTCTTTCCTCTTTCCAATGAAAGTAAGTTGCTCATTGTTCAAGATTAATCAGTTTATGAGATAAAGCCATTTCTTTTTTCCAGGATGAGGAGGACCCGAAACTACTAGAGCGGAAGGGAAACAAGCAGCTGTTACTAGAAAACATTGATTATGCACTTGATATGTTCCTAATCTATGTGCTAACACTATCTATTTTCCCTGGATTTTTGTCAGAAGATACTGGATCACACAGTTTGGGCACCTGGTATGTTCATTACAGTATAATATGTTTGATTCCTTCATTCTTGCTTCTCTTCGGGCATAAACTGCCCCACCTATTTTTGTGGTCCTTGTGTCCTGACCCAAAGAAGGGATTAGATTTTTTGGTGCGTTTTGATTCATATGGGGACTGCAAGAGGTGATATTTCCTAATATTTTAGGTATGCTCTTGTGCTAATTGCAATGTACAACGTGAGTGATTTGATCGGAAGATACATTCCGCTGTCGAAATTCCTGAAGCTGGAATCCCGAAGGATAATCATGACGGCAATTCTGAGTCGCTTCTTACTGATTCCTGCATTTTATGTCACTGCAAAGCATGGTGACCAGGGATGGATGATAATGTTAACCTCCTTCTTGGGGCTGTCCAATGGATACCTCACTGTCTCTGTTCTCACAGCTGCACCAAAAGGTTACAAGGTTTGTTTGTTTGACACATGCACGGAAGTCAGAAATCTTTGCATGATTTAGAATTCGAGGATTTCATTTATCTTATCGGGGTTTTTGTCATTTTGCGTCTGTAGGGACCGGAACAAAATGCCTTGGGAAATATATTGGTGCTGTTTCTTCTTGCAGGTATTTTTGCAGGAGTCACGCTTGATTGGTTGTGGTTGATAGGCAAAGGTTGGTGAGATTCCTTTCCAATCCAGCCACTATTTGGTGGGAAATCTTCGTGTGTTCATATTCGTCTGTCTGTTTTGTTCCATTTTTTGTTAGTGTTCTTCTGCTTCATTCTTCTAGTGGGGGTAATCTGTCAGATTATAAGACACTTTAGGTACCAATAGATGCTTTTCTTTACATGCAAATGCAGTGAATAATATATATCAAATCAAATCATTCTTCTAATAGAATTATTAGAAGCAGGCCTCAAATCCAAGACATCGTCCTTTACATGAATTTTTTTTCATTAAGGGTGTGAACATCAATTTAAAAACAGTTAAGATATGATGATAAATTTCACAAAAAAGGAGACTATTTACTATTTAGCTGCCTGCCTAGTATTTTAGTAGAGCTTTGATTCTCTTCACGTAAATCTATAGTCTAAATAGAGAATAAAAAGAAAAGAGGTTTGTGAGAACTACCTAACACGTGGGGTCCATCAAAAAATTTTGTTTTTCTCTCCACCCGATTTCTCTTGCTGCTGGAGAGAATCTCTCCTATTTTGGTGGGAATTGCAGCTAGTCACATGCCTGTAAACTTATATTTGCTCATGGTCAAGGATTAAGTTTTGTTTTTTTTTTTTTTTTGAATTCTAAATCCTGCCGTTATCAAAAGGATAATTATCAATTGAGGTGGAATAATGAGCATCTACGGTCTCACTCATCATTGAGAAAGGCGTTCGAATGTGGATAAACAAGGTTCCTAAACTAAAAACAACAGTAATATGTAGGCGAGGAGAGACATCTTTGGTCGGTCACAATTGTTGGTCTTGGAAGAAGCATGCGAATGAAGCCTCTAATTAGAATGAACGGACTGATTTTTCTCTGCTCCAACGGTACGGTTTCAGACTGAACGTCGTAATAATGTTAATGTGAATTATGAAACAGGAACGCCGTCACTGATACATTCAACGCTCCCCTCGCGTCAAAACTTAAGATATATATGACACGTCGACGTTGACTCCTAAGCAAAACGATAATTCAATTGTGAAATGCTTTGATTAAAACTCTTCTTGAGAATAATCCAGCTCATCCGGTGGACTTTCTTACGAATTGAGAGATGCAGAATACTGTTTTATACACATGGATTTGTCCAAAAACTTGATAATTATTTTCTTAGAAAACTTGAAAATTTTTTATGGGAAGAATTCAACAAGGTCATCTTGTAGGAGGAATTGATTTGGTTTTAGAAATCTAAATGCAAATGGTTGAATTGGGGCCATCGGAATACTAAATTTTTTCACGCCACCTCTATCATTAAAAGGAAAAGAAACGAAATCTTAGCTCTCAAGTTTGACAATGATACTTGGATTCAGACCTTAATACTTTGAAAAGCATGGCTGTCTCTTATTTTGAAAATCTTTATAAGGAAGGTGCTCCTGCAAAAGACAAGCTCATCACTGATAAGGGATTTCCACCTCTCTTTGCTTTACAACTCCATTCTATCCATAGAGAGGTTACCGATGAGGAAATCAAGATCGTTGCTTTTGATAGTGGAGCCTTTAAAGCCCCGGGGCTGGATGGTATCAATGCTGGTTTTATCCACGATTATTGGAATGATCTCAAAACCAGCATTGTCGAACTCATTAAAAAGGTCTTTATCAATCTAGACACCATTAGTGAGATAAATGACACATTCATTACTCTCATTCCTAAAGTTGATAACCCTACTTGTATGAAGGGCTTCCGGCCTATATCTCTCTGTAATATCAGCTACAAAATCATAACTAAAATTCTCTCTAATCATTTTTGTTAATGTATGAACAATCTTATTGGGGATTCTTAATGTAGCTTTATCCAGGGTCGGCAAAGTAGTGATAATATCATAATCACTCAGAAAATCATTCACTCTATGAGGATTATGAACAAAAAGAAAGGTTTCATAGCTCTTAAAGTAGATCTTAAGAAAGCTTTCGATAGACTCTCTTAGGATTTCATTGACGACACTCTTCATTCCATTGTTTTGAATACTCACCTCAGAAAATTGATTAGAGCTGCCATCTCTACTTCTCATATGAGGGTCCTTTGGAATGGTGAACCTATTGAAGAATTCGTTCCCTCTCGCAGCATAAGACAAGGAGACTCTTTATCTCCATATTTATTTGTTCTGTGCAATGAACATCTTAGTCATTGTATTATTAGTTCCATTGATAAAAATGAGTAAAAACTAATTAAACTAACAACTAATAGACCTCCTATTTCTCATTTATTTTTTGCTGCTAACTTGTTACTTTTTGTAGAGGCATCTATTAACCAAGTTATGATTATTCAACAACGCCTCTTAAATTTTTGCAATGCTTCTACCCAAAAAGTTAACATTGGGAAATCTAAGCTCTTTTGTTCTAGGAACGTCAATTTTACTAGGGCTTCTCAAATTAGCACTGAATTAGGAATTCCCCTCACGAGTAATCTTAACAAATATCTGAAAATTCCCTTAATCCATGAAAGGGCTTCTAAGTTTACCTTTGCTCCTTTACTTAACAAAGCCTGCTCTCGCCTTACCAATTGAAAAAGTCAATTTCTTAACTTTGCTGGGAAAACTGTTCTTATTAATTCTATTCTTTTAGCAATTCCTAGCTATACCATGCAAACCATGTTGTTACCTAACAATGTTCTTATGGAATTGGGGAAAAATTCTAGAAACTTCCTCTAGGACTCCTTCGATGGGCACGAAAAACCTCACCTAATTTCTTGGGATTATATTACTATGGATAAATCTAATGGGGGTCTTGGCATCAGAAATCTTGAGAGCTAAAACATTGCCTTCATTATGAAACTTTGCTGGGGTCTTATCACTTAACCAGATCGGCTTTGGGTCAAGATTCTTCGTGAGAAATATAAATGTATAAGTCCCACTATTCCTATAGTTTACAAACTAACTCCTCCTCTTTCACTTAGAGTAGTATTTGCAAAGTCTAAAATAAATTCATGGCACATGTTGGTTGGAAAATTGATAAGGGAGATCATACCTCCTTTTGGTACAGTAAGTGGTCCCCTCTTCCAGAACCTCTTGTATTTTATGCTTACCCTAGTGCGGAGCCTATTCTTCATGCTCGTGTTTCTGGTCTTTGTAATTCTGTAGGGGGATGGAATTTTAGTCTTATGAATCATCACTTCCCTTCTAAGCTGATAAGACTCATTGTGCTGGTAAGACCACCTAATCCTGATGGGGAGGATGATGTCATTGTTTGGAGACCATCCTCTGATGGCAACTTTATCATCAAATCGGCCTACAAGGCTATGTTCTCTCAAAAGGAACACCAACATTTAGGTTAGGATTTGACAATGACCTACTGATAAAAAAATCAAGTACTTTCTTTAGAAGGCTGCTTGGGACAGACTACAACTCAATTCTACCTACACCAAAAGGAGTACTCTTCTTCAAAGATCTTTTTTTGGATGCAATTCTCTTGATTCCTCAATCCATATTCTACAAGACTGCTTAGAAGCTCATAACATTTGGACTAAACTGGTGAAACCCTCAAAACTTAATACTTTCTTTTCCCTTTCCATGCAGGATTGGATAATTTGGAACGCAAAAGTTAAGGCAGAAAATCTAAATACAAGAAAGATCCCTTAGTAGAGACTTTTCGCTCAAGTTTGCTGGAACACCTGGAAGACACGTTGCAAAAAAATCTATTCCGGATACATCTCTCAGAATGTTGACATTGCTTTCTCCAGTACCCAACAAATCACCAATGACATAAGGCTTCAATCTAAAGTTAACCTCCTAAGTCACGATTGCAAAAGGCTAGAGGCATATTAGACACCCCCAGAAACAGGCTAAATCCATCTTGACATTGATGGGGTTGTCAACTCTATCGGAGCTGCTACTTATAGTGGAATCATACAAGATGATAAAAGGAATTGGATCGAGGGTTTTTTCAAATACCTCGATTGTCATCCAAGCACTACAGCAGAACTATTAGACATTTTAGAAGGACTTCAGCTTTGTTGGAATGCCCATTTCGACAAAATCAACATCTGCTCTGATTCTGTGGAAGCACTTTCACTTATCTAACATAATTTTCCTGATAACCATCCTCTCTCTGGAATTATCAACAAAGTCAGAACTCTTATCATGAAAGATTAGATCATTACCTTCGACTACACATTCAAAGAAGCAAACAGATGTGTGAACATGCTTGCTCACCTTGCATCTCGAGATAATCTCAACCTTATTATTTACAATCATCCACCTCCAGAATGCAGATCCCTTATGGAATCTAATATGACTTAATTTTTTTCTTCTTTTACACAATTTTTCTGTATCCTTGTATTCAAAAAAAAAAAAACTCTTCTACTTATTATGACACAGTCCCGCAAAACATACGGACCCTAGTGCATAGTGATATGATTGTTTGGAATCACAGTGCCGTTTAGTTTTATTTTGTTGTAATTGGGTTTTGCCCTCTACTTTATCAAAAAAGAAAAAGGAAAAAGAAAAGAATTTGTATGTTCGGGTTTGGGTACTGCACTAATTATTATTGGCACGTGACAGATCACAGAAATAACAAATAACAGATTACAGGAGATTGCAATGGCCTTTGTCAAGCGAACTAATATTAAATAGGTAATTTTGTAGAACTGCGTTCTGCAATTGGAGTGAGCTTTTTCAAGCTTCTGCTGCACCGTGATTGATCCTCTTTTGCTTTCTAATAAATATGCGACTATTCAGTGAAATAATTGGACGAAAACAAGGCAAGAATCAATCATTATGTTATATGAAACTTTCTACTCCCTCTGTTTCTTTTCTTTTCTTTTGATTGGAACCCTCCGTTTTTATATATATAATTAATCATAATAATTATATTTAAAAATAAAAAATTAAACTAAAATATATTATGTTAACCAAAATAAACATTTATTAATTATTTTTTATTAATGTAAATTATGAGAGGCAATTTAAAAAATATGTAATAAATATTCATTAAAATACATGATCGTACTTATATAAAAAATTAAAAATAATAATTTTTTTATAAATAAAAACGGAGTGAGAACTTCACATTGCTCCTTAGGTGTAGGAAGTTATTGAACTTAGATTTTCAAAAAAGAAAGAAAGATAGAAATACTCCTTCATCTTAAATTATAAAGTGCTTTTAGATAAATTTTATATATTAATAAATTTAATAGATATACTTAACAATGTTATCTTTTCAAAATAAAAATATAAACTTTTAAAAATTTTTATTATATATTAATTAAAAAGAAAGAAAAAAATAAATTTAAAATTAATGCATTTAATGAAATTTTAATATATTTAAAGTGCCTTGTATTTTAAATAAAAAAATTATTTTAAAAATATTTTATAATTTACTCTTCATGGCATGCTAATAGGCTAGTATGCGCACGCATGTAGTCAAGGGGAGAGGAGAAAAACTGAAATATACAGTGAAGAGAAAAGAGTCAAAAGGGGGAAAATAAGCTACGAAACAAGACAAAGTAAGGAAGGGGAGAGGAGGCTATGGAAAAGCAGAAATGAGAACGAAGAGGGTGAGAAGAGGAAGAGGAACCCAAAAAGTAAACGGGGAAGATGAGGCCCGGGCATTGTCGAACTGAAGGGAATCAACGGCCAGGGGCATGTTGTCCTGATCGGGGCTACACTTGGATTCCTGTGTGTGGCCGCTGTACATGATTGCTCTCAACACTGCCGAAACGGTCGGTATGTACGCTGTTTTGTTCCTCGCCAGCAGCCATGTCAGTCCCATTAGTTGGCAGTCCCTGTTCAGCATTTTGCTTCTTCCCCTCTCACTCTCCTTCTTGTATCCCTTCACCTGTCAACCATAATTTCTCTCTGTACAACACTTATTTTTTTTAAAAAAAAATTACTGCATATATATTCAAAGTTCGAATAAAAAAGAAGGCCCTGATTGAGAATTGCGCACGGGAATGTCACTTTCCGAGGTCAACCCAAAAGGGAAACAATGGCAGAACAATAGGAATGCTCAGTGGCTTCCACTGACTTCACCTTATCAAAAATGTATTCCATATTTGTATTCTATTCCCATATACAAATTCAGACCCTTGTAGTTAATTAATGGTCATTTAAATTTCTCAGAGAAAACAACTAGGAACATAGACAAAAATGGGGAAGGGTTGTAATTGGGATACCTTCTGGAGAGCAGCGAGGCATTTGGTGCAGCCAACGTAGGAAGAATTGCGACAAGTCTTCTCCAAGTTTGTGACGGCAGAAGTTGGAGTAGCATTGTGAGACGCAGAGACATTGAACGCGGCAGGGCAGGTCAGGGAGGATATCTGGTGAAGCCTGATTCCACAGAAGCACAGTATAGTGTCACAGCTGGCGTTGGGCGAAGGAATCCGGATGTTGTGACTCAGAAGCGCGTCGTGGAGCGAGTTCACACACTTCTGCGAGTCGTCCGGCATCATCGGAAGATCACCGCCAGTCGCAGCAGCCGAAGACCAAACCTCCAGAGCCGACCGAGCGTGAGCGGCGAAGAGCCAGGCCGCCAGCACCGGACAGCACCGGCTACGGTCGAGATCCTTGCCGCAAGCGTGGTCGACGCCGCCAAATAACTCTTTAGAGAGCTCGAGGCGACAATTTTGGCTCGGTGTTTGAACCGGCGCAGCCTGGATAGTGCTGGGGGACGCATCCTCGCCGTGGACTGGCTGCGAGAGGAGACCGGCCAGGGAAACGGTTAATATGGAGAAAAAGCAAATGAGAAAGGCGAGAATGAACCTAAATGATTGCATTATTATTATTGTAAAGCTAAAGAGATGAATATGTTGATGATGACGGATGAGCTTCTGGGCTCAAATGGCATTCGAGAAAAGCAATGGAAGGGAAAGGTTGCGTAAGTGGAAAAGTAGGGAAAGACCGAAAAAGAAGACTTTTATGTTTGCTGGGAATTATGGGCAAAGGGAGCTCTAAAAAGAGAGGCGAGGATTCAAAACCTCGAGCCTTTTGGCATTTGGGTGATTCATACGGTACTGTTTGAACCAATAAAGGATTAAAGTGGGACAATGCTTGATGTTCCGCGGGTTTCTGCTTCTCGTGGTGGTGGTGGGGGATGGGGATGGGGATGGGATGTTCTCCCTCCACCTTAGAAAAGGAGGAGCTACGCCTACGCTCAGATATCACATTTCGGTAATTTAATTATTAATATTTCACACGTCTTCTTGTGTTCAATGTGGCTGCAAAAAGCCACTGGATTTGACAACCAACAGAGTGAGATTTGTTTTGTTTTGGTTTTTTTAACCGAGGGAGCGAGAGTGGAAGACACGACCGACTTGGATAAGAAAAGCCTGCGTCTCTAAATGTGGCAGAGTGTCCTCGCTGCTAAAACTAAAATCAAGCTAGGAGCACAGAAGCAGAACCCAAAATCTACTATTTAATTACAAGTCGCTGTGTTTTATTGTATTAGTTATTCTTAACAGATAATTACGCTTTTTGAAAAAGCAGGGGGTGTTGGTGGGAAGGAATTGGCGTGAAGCATGATACGTGACTTTTTCAGGGAGCCAGCTTTGGCCAGTTATCCCACTTTCCTATTGCTGCCGCTGGTGATTGAAGACATACATATGCATGACAGTTGACGGGGGGCCAACTTCTTATTTATAGTCGCACCTTATTTTCTCCCATCATGATATTATTTTAAGAACTTTTAATTAAGCATGGGCAAACATCAGAGGACAGTAGACAGTAAAAAAAAGAATAAAGCTTAATGAAAACTTGCTACTACTTTTCTGCCGTGGTTCCTCTGGGTCTCCGGACACGAAGCATCTTCCTCTGTTCTGCTACTCATGATTCCGAGAAATGATGCTGAGGGGAAACAAGGAAGATGGATATTTACCGGACGATTGATGTCTTGAAAAGATGACGTGATTCAGCTGTAGTTGAAGGCAGTGTGCGAGCATAATGGGGGTCAGGGGATACAATTCGGCCACGTGGCTATAATCATGAGTTATTGAGACTGTGTCTTTACAAACTAATCATGACATTATGATCGCTAAATGGCTTTTAGTGTCAGGTGGCACCCTCCTTCACTTCACCTTTTCCTTCATTCCCTTGCATATTTATTACTTGTTCGGTATCGCGTCAAATCCTTGTAGCTCCGTGTCCATAGTACATAATGAGCCTTTTGAACAACTCACGATATCGCACAAGCCGTCCGATTAATCTTCACTTCGGTGTTGATCCAAATTCCCTTAATTCAATTTGATTTGAATAAAGTTTTACTTGAAAATGTTAAAGTTTAAATTTAAATAGCAAAAGAGTAAAGAGAGCAGGTAAAAAATAGAGTAGTAGAATGCGTAGAGTCACAGGGCATAATTGCTGTACAGTTTACGTGGTTTGCAAATAATAAATTATAAAAAATATATTATCCATCCATGATTTATAAAAAGTATTATAGCCATGCCTATGAAGAGGAGGCTGCCCATTAATAATATATTAAAACATAAATAAATTATTTGGCCAAAAAAATATAGTATAGTAAATGATTCAATTAATAAATCATCAATAGTCAAATCTTATTTATATGCATGCCCATTAAATATATCCAGTCATCCAGATATGCGCACACACATGAGAACAAACTGGGACGTGTATGTTTCCCACTACTTCACAATTCTAAATATTTTCATATAAAATTTATCTAAATTATAATTAGGTCTCACACAAAAAAATTAATTACTATAAGATTCATTAATAATTAAACTAAACTGCATTAACAATTGATTGTGTTGTCAATACAGTTTAGTTCAGTCATTAATAAATTTTACAGTAATTAACTCCCATGAAACTTTAATATAATTGTCTCATTTATCTTCCAATGTGCCTTCAGAGCTTCACAACTAATAATTGTGGGCTGTAGAAGAATTCATCAAAAACGAAATAACTCGAATTGACGAAGAGGGGGAGGGGGTGCTAGAATTCTGACCCTTATGTTGTGATTGGCTTGTAGGGAAAAATAAAAAAAATGAAAAAAGAGAAAGTTAGAGGGATATAATTTTCTTTCGTCATACTTGGCTGGCTCAAAAACCAACAGAAAGGAAAAAAAATTATTAATTTTATATAGACAATAATAATTTTATTATTTATAAAAATATTTATATATAATAAAATTTAATATTTTAATATATTTTATACATAATAATTTCTATCGTTGATTGAATAAAAACATAGTTATAAATTGTTTTATCCAATTTAAAATTATTAAATTATTAAAATTTGAAATTACAAAATCTTATGGAATGAAATTCATTGATGAGAATTTGGTAGAGAGAAAGTTACGACGAAAACAGAGGAAAGCAAGAGGAGGCAATAAAAAAATTGATAGTTAAATTTTAAAATGAAATTTTTTTCTTTAAAATCTTTCCGTACTTTGATAAAAGAGTTAAAGATAAAAATATGTTAATATTATATGTTATTTTTTTCTCTCTCTTTTTTTTTCGTAACCAGAAAAAATATTGTTTTCTCTCTCCATTTCCTACGTTTCCTTCATCCCTATTTTTATCTCCTGCCAAACATTACGTTATAGCCGCACAAAAAAAAAAAAAGCAACAAACAATAATATTAATGATAAGCACAGGGAGATGTCTATAAAGATTAAAGAATCCCTTTTTTTCAATGCACATGGACGTCAAGCCAAAAAAAAAAAAAAAAACAAAGCACATGGACGTCTGGCAAACGAAGTTCGAGAAACAGGAGGAAAAAATGTTGCGCACTGAAATACAATTTACAAGAAGTCACTGATGTCCAGACTCTCAGGAATTTCGAACTTGAATAAGTCGCTGCAATGGGTATCCCTTTCCTCCTCCGCGCTGCTATTCACATACGTGGACGATGAATTCAATGGGGTTGGGCTCGACAGAGGGGTTGACAGAACTGACTCATACCCTATGTTTTGCACATTTTCATTGTTTATCAAACACTGCATTGGGTTCCCTTGCAAATCAACTCCGTTTTCTCGCGGTTTAAGATTCTCACACAAATATGAAGGAAGTGAAGTCTCTACCGGACTTGAACAGCACATGCTTGCGATGTTGCTTGAAAGGCCTTCACGCATGTTGGCTGTTTGAGTTGGCATCTGACTGACTGGGGAGGCTTGAAAGTCTACTTGGTGATTCCCATCCTGCAGGATTTGTTGTAGATTCTGTGCAACTAAATCTGGGCTCTCATTCTTGAACGCTAACAGAGTGGTGGCCAGTTTCAATGTTTCTGGGTTCATCAAAGCTTGAGCCCCCAGTAAACTTTGCAGATGCAGAAGTGATCGATTGGTCATCAACGCCGACGTTAGAATAGAGGACATCTCAAGAAGGTCGAGGCGTGGGGCATGAGTAACAGGATCGATTCCCGTCCGAAGCAGTCTCTTCCTAATGTGGGTGTTCCAGTAGTTCTTTATTTCATTATCTGTTCGTCCTGGTAATCGTGCTGCTATAGCAGACCATCTGAACACGCAGAAACCAAAGAGGTTTGGGCTTTTATGTTTTAGTTTAATTCATGACAAACAGTGAAACTTTGTTATGGAGATGAAAAAAAGACGTACTTGTTTCCCATGATACTGTGCAACTGAATGATAGTCTCTTCTTCCTCAAAGGAGAATCTCCCTCTCTTGATATCGGGTCTCAAGTAATTTGTCCATCGAAGGCGGCAACTTTTGCCACATCTTTGCAGACCTTTATGTCAAATTAAACAATGTGCTAATCAGCGAGAAAACCAAAACCAAAACCAAATGATTGTCAATAAGTAAAAAGAAATCTGAGAAGAGAAGAAATGGTACCTGCTTTCTTGGGGAGGGTTCGCCAGTTGCCTGGTCCATGAGCCTCGATGTAGTTGATAAGCTTTAGATCTTCCTCGGGGGTCCATGGACCCTTCTTGAGTCCGTTTTGGTCACAGCAAGGTGCTCTTCCCATTATTGAAGCAGATAGTATCGACGTGGATAATTTTTCCAGAAGGATAGAGGAAACTGGCTAGTGTTTTCTTACCAATTGAGATGGAATTGATGATGGCTCTGAAGTTGGAAACTGAAACTTTGTTGCTTCTGATGGCAAACACTTCCACAGTTTTTATAGCCGAGGGTTATGAAAATAGGGGTTACATATTTCAAGTCAAAAGGATTTGGCGCCGGCCAGCTTGTATAATTACACCACGTCTTTCTCAAATCTCAACCACGGTGTGACTGCAATACCGTATTCCGTATTTGACTAGGATTGACATAATGTACGCATGCAGTATGTACATATATACATTTATATACGGCGCATTGCATGAACAATTGACGTTTACGCTGCATTATGAATCGGTGGCCTCATCTCACTCCGCAGATTATTAATCGATAGGTGCATATATATGATTGATTATAGTGCAATTCTACGTATACGATAGCCGGTGATTAGAAGAACATGTGTTAAGAGTAAAGACGGAGCTGACTTTTTAAATTGTAAAACCTGCAGTAGGATCAAAGAGAGAAAATGTTGATTAAAACTTCAGTTTGACCTTGATTTTAGATGATTGGCGGTAAGGGTTGACAGTTCCCCTTTATCAACTACCATAGAAAATAATTATCACTTTTTCAGTTTTATTGGTTTTCTTTTTCTCTTTTCCCTTTGCTTTTGGCTCTCATTTTGAATTTCGCCACAAACGAGGAATTAAGATTATATATATGTTTGACATTCGAGGTCACGAAATATTCAAGGATTTGTAATGCTTACCATCTGTGTAAAAATAAGTTTTCAAGCATGGTATATATTAGCAAATTAAAGCTTTGCTGATGATCAAATGGTTATAACAAATTAAGTTGCATGTTCTTGTGGAAAAAATCATGATGTTGTTATGTTATGCTCTATAATACTTTAACTATATGAATTCTTTTCGAATTAATCTAGCCATATATATATATATATTAAACTCAAGTTTTACGCACTCTTAATATGTATTTATCTTTAAGAGAAACGAAACCTGAAAAATGGCGCTGTACTCAATTCAAAGTTCAAACAGACTTTGGTGTTTACATTAATTTTTAACAACATGGTTCACACAGGGGCGGAAAGTGGAGCCCTGGCACTGTTAATCTTTTCAAAATAAAAATTTGTGTTTTTAATCTTCTAACACTGTTAGTTTCATTAAAAAAATTCTTACATTAAACTTTTAAATTCTAACAAAACATTTTCAAATGGCTAACCTATTAAGTTTAATTTTATAAGATAATAATAATTGACATAAAAAATTATCATTTAAAATTAACAAAGTTACTTGACCAAAAAAAAATAGTGTTAATGTTAGAAAACTTAAAAGATACTCTATAAGATAGAGAAACAAAACTAAATCTTTATATTAAATTAGAAGACCAAAATTACATTTCAGCTTATTTAATGTGTTAGGTTTTTTTTTCACAAAATTTGGAAATCAACCTCAACTATTATTTTTAAAATTTATATTATATATATACACATATGAACATATACCAAAATATAATTATGTATTTTTAAAGTATTGTTATCATATAATTTTGTAGATTGTAAAATTATTTTAATGAAATATTTATTTAAAAATATAAAGCCAACAATATATTATACACAATGTGCCCCGGCTCTGTCCCTCACACAAAATGACGAAAAGAGAGATCGATGATGAGGTGTCACCATCCTGAAGACGTGTCTACGTGCAAGCGGCTGGTTTTTCTAGGTGGGGACTTTCTAGAAAAGGAAGCAGCAAGAGTGACAGGTGTCGTGTGTTGTTCCAGGAGTGCGGTCAACGATGCTCTAATCTGCCCCCAGAAATGTCGTCTGCATCAAGCAAAGGTGGTTGCTTAATCTGCTGTAGCACCCGTGGCCAAAATTTTCAAGAGTCACTGAAAATCAGGTGCCACAATTCATCAACCCTTCATCTAACACCGTAGGATTAAGTCAAACATACACTTTTTTTTACAAGAAAAAATTTTTTTTTTCTTCTTCTTAGTTTGCTGCATCTTCCCACGAATTAAGAAATACGTTTATACATATATTGCAGGGACATGTAGAGTGGTGTTTGTAAAGTTGTGTAGCCTGCTGGATAATTGCTTCCTAATACTGGTGTCAGTATTATTTCATATAATTTTTTTTTTTATAGAAGTATTTCCTATAGTTCATTGTAAGGTCTCAATGCTTTCAACTATACGTGTATGCTGTGTTGGCCCAGTTATATATCTGCAAAACACAGGAGCATCTATAAGATACGATATTTTTTAAAAAAAAAAAGTTCTGTTGAGTCCACATACTATATATACAGCCACAATTGATATCGTGTTGCCCCTCTTTTGTTTGGTGTATACACTATACAGATAATCAGCGATTTGAAAAGATGTAGTAGCTGTGATTTTCCAAGCATTTAAACATATGGAAGCCTGACTTTTAATAAGCGTGTGTGTGTGTGTGTTTGTGTAGCTTTCTTTTGCGTTTCGTGTCTGAACTAATGGAAATCTTCCGTCTGTTTGGAACACGTCTTACTCTTACTTAGTTGGGGAGTGCCAGATTTCTTTTTTTCTTTTCTTTTTTTTTTTTAAATAAAGATGAGCATTCACAGTGCCAAGAAGTACAATATTAAATAGTTTCAAAAGATGTTTCCCTCTCGTCATCTACTGTCATAACATAGCACGATGTTGGTTGCTCAAAAGTATAGAAATTACCTATCAAGTCATCAACATTTCTAGCTAAATAGTGGGCACAATGGTTTGCCTGTGTAAACGTAAAGCTAACCAAAATATTCCAATCTCTATATAATAGAGATCCTTGTAAGTTGTAAGGATGGTTGGCGCAGTCAGTCCTGTAGATGATAATCCTAAGCTCCACACAATCCGTATGAACACGTACTTGTCGGAAGCCCCTCTCCCAACAAATTTGAAGACCACGCAATACCAAACAGCCCAGTCATAGCAACAGGGAACATGCCTATACAAGAATTAAATCCAAAGACCCAGTTGGCGTTATTGCCCCTGATTACCCCTCCGCATTTACTTATGCCTTAACATTCAGAAGCATCAACGTCTCCCTGAGGTTCCGTAAGTCTGTAGCATGTTCAAGTCCGATTGTGCCTTTTGAAGAGTTGGTTGCAAAGGTAGATCTTGTTCTGTCTACATCTTCTTGTGCAAAAATATTATGATACCTGTCACACCAGATTTCCCAGCAAACATATCCAAAAAAGTATATCCCAAGGTAGCTGCTTTGACTTGCCGGCTTCATTCTTCAAATTCCACATCAGCCACTCGTTTCTATCCGGATATCTGCAGTGCGTCAGCGTATCGCAATTTATATATTTTTTAAACCCTTTCTCTAAACGAAATAACAATCATTGCATGGAAGTTTACACGTTATATTAGTGGCAAAGAATGAAGGCAGGAGGAAATGACTTAAATTAAACGGTGAGCTATCGTCATCCCCAGAGCTGACCACCTGGTACCATAATGTGTTCTGCGCTTTTTGCTGTATGTGATTGTTGTGTGGTGTCCAAAACTTCAACAAACTTTGAATCTCAGTTCATTGCAGGATTGATTGATGAGAATGTTCTGGGATAGATGTTAAAATTAATGCATCATAAATCCAGCCTACTTGATTCATTAAAAGATTATATATTGACTCTATAGTTCATTCGTTTATATATATATATATATATATAATTTTGGTATTATGTTAACTTAAAAACAATTTATGGACTGAGTGCATCAATCCATGTGTGTTAAATGGATCACATCAAAACTAATATTCTTTTGTTAGATTTTAATAATATTAAGAATTAAAATGATTTTTGATAAGTACCATGCTTTAGGTTTAGTGATTATTAAGAATATTCAATATTATGAGAATAAGAATTTTTATAGCACGATCACACACCATTATAAATCAAATTGGAACAGTCAAGAATTGCTTTGAATGTGAAAGCTACATTTTTGTTTCAACTTTACCAAGCGAGACAAATGGATGAGACGGTGCTACCAAAAGTAGAGGCGGCCGGGATAACGGCATTCCGTACCCAATGCTCAATTGCTCATTATGAATACTTATTTTACTTTAGAAGACGTAGAATTTAAAGATAATAAGATATCTCGTCGATATTTATTTTTTAAGAAACAAAAATTTTAAATCTAAAAAATAATCTAACCAGTGGAAATTACAGCGATCAGAAAGCGGCACGGAAGCGGTGTTAGCCGGAGAGAGGGAAGGTGAAGGGAACACGTGGTGGCAGCGTGATGCCGTGATGGCGTACGAGGAATTGAGACTTCTATTTTACCGCGTCCACGCTGCAAGCAAACTGCCTCTTCCCTCCCTCGCCAACAATTTCCTTCGACGTGTCGATCGCGGGATTTTAACCCCCATGACATTTGCGATGCTGGCCAGATATGCGTGGCTCTGCACCGTGTATGTATGTATGTGTGTATGTGCATGGAAGTATGGGAAAGACATGGAGGACAAAACACAAGCCCATGTGAGCGGCAAGAAGAAGAAAACAAATCATAATTTGTACATGGGCATGATTGATTTCTATTTTAAAAAATTATTTTCATTTAAAAAAAACTCATTGGAATAAGTGTTCTGAATTTAAGTGATTTCCAATGTTGTTCTTTTTTATTGTTAATTAAAAATAAGAAAATAAAAATATTTTAGATATGTTTTCTGTTATTAAATACATCACATTTAACTAATACAAATTATCACCACCAAGCACCAACCTCCATTGCCTCTGCTTGTTGTTGCCCACCAAAGTCAACCTTTATCACGAGTTTTATGCTATTATGTTGCTTGTCGATACTTGTTATTGCCACTACAATCAACTAGTGACATCTATTGTTGTCACTAGCTAACCATCATTGATTATTATCAACTAATATTATTGATCATGATCATTAATCATTATTGGCTACCACCAACAACCATGATGATCACGGGCTATCACCATCCATTTGTTATCACAGTTGACCACTACTATTACTAACTATATATTGTTGACAACCCTAGTCACCACCATTGGCTAGCTAGTTGTTACC